CGGAGATCCTGAAGAAGCTGATAAAGTATATGCTTATAATTAAAACGTTAGCTTTACAGTAGAATTGTGATATCTGAGAGACAGAGACAATAAGAGAATCTAAACAGCTTCCATGATTTATCTTGCAGTTGTATGATCTCATCAAATCTAGAGTTGAATGTGATGACTTTCGAGATAGGTTAGAGTTAGCCCAAGCTTCTGTTCTCCTCCAAGACATTGCGACTGCTGGTAAGAGAAGTTTATTACAGTTTGAATAATATATATATATGTTCCGTTAGCGTTGTGTTTGGCTTAACTATAGGTTTCTTGAATTTTGCAGAAGATGGTAGCTCTTGGGATGTAGTTAGTGATGATGATTTAATATTGGGTACGGAAGATGATTATGTGCTTGTTAAAGAAGAAGATGTAGCTGATGCTATTGCTTGTTTCATGGTTACTTATTTATCCTCCCTTGAGCAGACAAAGGTACGTACGTTACGTACATCTCAGTCCTTTTTATCTCGTTAACTTATCATATGTGAAGCTAATCTGAGTGAGATATTTTTCTTTCTAGGATGTATCACCTGATCAGCTTCAAAAAGGTATGCTAGTGAGTCTGACTTTTATTATGTCTCTTTTCTTTATCAAAAATTAGATACTAAGAGTTTGCTTATTATGAACTGGGAATGTAGCACTTAGCACCATGTTTTCTGTGAAGAAAAGAAAGGGGAAGCTTCGTAGAGCATGGGAAGGTAGTAAAGTTATTTACAATGTAGCATCATGGAGCGCCACTGCCATAGGGTACATTCACCAAACCTCACTCTTTTGAACTGATACAGCGTTGGTTATATATATATATATATCTAATTTGTCATTTTAATGGCAACCAGGATATATCAAAACCCGGTGATCCTGACTATTGCATCTAAAGCCTTCTGGGTGTCTTGCAAGGCAATATCAAAGCTCGTTTGAACTGAATTTGAAGACACATCTCACTCACATGGTAGTGCTCATATGTTACAATGGACACTGCAATGTTTTCTATATCATTTAATTTATATCTTTACACATTCAATTGGTGTATCCTTCTTCTCTAGTGATGTTATCCTCAACATGATGCAATGTTAAAGATAAGTTTGATCACAAATTTCGATAAGTTCACATCCTGAAATAATCTATATTTCAAAAACAAATGAACAATTGTTTTTATTGCAATCTTTTTTTCCTTTCTCAAAGTCACAAGTAAATGAGGGAAACAGAGAATAATAAGACAATTTTTTGAGGTATGAGTTAAGTGTTGTGTTTACTATGCGTACATGTTATCCACATTGTACTCGCCCAGGTACTCATCATCAGGAGCGTGGAAGCGATCAGCTATCATCTCGTCTAGTGTCAATGGCTCTACATGATCTTTTACAACTGGAGGCAGAGAAAGAAGGATTAGTATGTAAGTGAGACAAGATTTGAAAGAGAAGCAGGCTATGGTATGAATATGATTCTTACCTGGCTTCATTAACAACTTTGTCAATACACGCTTTTGCAGAGCCAGAACCAATGCCGCTCGGTAGTAAACCACTAAATGGACTCTCTGCCGGTTGCATATAAAGCAGATCTAGTTCCCTGCAGAAATCAACCCACAAACTCATCGGTGGTCTAAAATACAATGAAAATCAATATTATTAAAACTGAAGTACAAAAAATTAAGTGTTTGGAAACATGAATAAAGTATTTAAAATTATGATGATTGGAAACAAGGATAGCCTACAAATCTAATGGGCTTACTTATTAAACTAAAAATTAACCTAAATATCATTATTATTGTTTTTGGGTTTTCTATCATTGATATTACTTTATTTCTAAAAATTATTTATAAATATATGTACTCATGTTTTAAATATATTTAGAATAAATCAAATATAGTATATATTTTATTTATATAATTTATATTGACTATTGTTATAAGTTTTTAACAGTAATATACTAGCCTTCCAATTCTTCATTAAAAAATAAACTTAAAAATTTGACTAAATTGTTTAGTGTTTATAACTTTGCACCAAATTTAGTAAAAAATTTTTTTATAAAATATTATTAAAATATTTACGGGTCACAACATTTTACCGACGTCATGTTACACAATACAGTAATGAAATACAATGTTTAAACAAAATACTATTACTTAGTAAAATTAGAACCGTAAGATTGTAATTTTAAAAATATTTATATATACCATAAAAACAAAGACCCGCCCAGTTGGGCGGGTTATGATCTAGTAATTTCTTAAATCAGATCTGTAGAGGTAGTCTGTCACCGGTAATAGTGTTATCAAAGTGTTACAAATGTTAAGTGGAAGATGTATTATGTAGAGGACTTGAGAAGAAACCAAGAGCTTAACCAAATGCGAGAGATAAGGGTAAGGACTGTGCAAAGGAATGTTGTGATTTTGAAGCTTTAAGCTTTTACAATGTTGCGATTTGAAATCATAAAAGGAAAGGAGCCTTGACCAAAAAGAACAAAAAAAAATCATTGAAAGGAGTATTTTAAAAAAAAAAATAAAAAAACGAGGGTACAACTACTAATCATTGTGGGTTTAGGAGGGTAAACATGATGACGTCATCTAACAAAGAAATAAAATTAAAAAAAAAAACAAAACAAAAGAGAGAGAGAGAGAAAGGAAGAAAGAAGCAAAATCGTTCGTTCGTCGCGTCGCAAGACGACGCAGAAGAATACAAAAAAAACACCATCCCCGTCCGTCGTCGACGGAGATCATCCCACAAAGTCGCTCGCGACTACCTTTAATCAATTCCTTTGTGGGTGCGATCTCTGTTTACTGCTACGTTCCTCGTCCGAAGAAAAGCCCTTTTCTTTTTCTTTTCCTCTCGTCGGAGAATTTTCCAAATGAAATAGAACTAAGGGGGAAATATATATATATATATACACACGCTTATTCTGTTGAGTTTCTGTCTTCTGGGTAGCTTAAAAGTTTTCAGCTTTCTATCGCTTTCTCTCCATGACACAGACTCAACGGGTCTTCCAAGCCTGGAAAGGAAGCAATGTAAGCCCCCCCCCCCTTTTTTTTATCATCTAAATTTTTACTGTTTTTGTTTTTTGGAGGATGGATACTGTCTGAATTCTCTTCTCTGGTATCAAAGTTCCTTACTTTTTGGATGATTTTTGAGTTGTTCGTTGCGCTATTTAACTAAGCTTTTGTCGACTTCTTTGTGTAGTGTATCCTCTTAGTTATTGTTAGGTTCAGCTTTGGTTATGTGTAAACTAATGATGCATTGTCCAATGTTTTTGACTACTTTTTGTTTATTATCATCTTGTTATTGTTACAACTTGTCAAAATTTGTGTTTTTTTTCTTTGGGAAAATCATTAAATTTGATTGGCTTGATATGTTTACAACCAAAACTACATTGAAGAGTTAGTGGTTATGGGGGATTCATAAGCGCTGTTCATTTGTTTTGGTGGTTTAAATCAGAACTGCATTTTAGCTTATACTCTTATCTCTACATGATTCCTGATATGCTCTTTTCAGTGAAAAAAATTGTGCTTCCTGTGCATAAAACTGTAATGGCTTGATGTGTTCACAACCATTTTGAATCAAACTACATTGAAGAATTAGTGGTTATGGGATTCATAAGCTGTGTACATTGGTCTGTTGGTCTAAATTATAACAATCTTATCCCAGTTATGATCTTGAATATAGTGTCCTTACTCTTTTTCAGAAGTTCATTCTTGGTGGGAGATTAATCTTTGGTCCAGACGCCAAATCAATCCCTGTTACCGTGCTACTCATCATAGTCCCAGTTATTTTATTCTGCGTCTTTGTAGCAAGGCATCTTCGCCATGAGTTCTCGCCTTACAATGCTGGATACGCTATCTTGGTCGTTGCAATTCTATTCACTATTTATGTAAGCCCTCTTCTCTGGTGATCATTGTACATATTTGATGTCACACTTGTTGTGTGGCATTTAGTTTTGTTATTATGTGCTTTGCTGAAGAATCACATAGCTGGTTTTGATATAGGTATTGATCCTCCTCTGCTTCACATCTGCACGAGATCCTGGCATTGTTCCACGAAACTCACATCCACCAGAGGAAGACCTACGCTACGAGACAACAGTATCAGCTGATGGAAGACGAACACCAACTGTTCAGATTCCTAGGACGAAAGAAGTTATAGTTAATGGCGTTGCCGTTAGAGTGAAATACTGTGACACTTGCATGCTTTATAGACCTCCTCGTTGCTCTCATTGTTCCATCTGCAACAACTGTGTCGAGCGCTTTGATCATCATTGCCCCTGGGTCGGCCAATGCATTGGACTGGTAAGCTCATTTTAAAACCTAAGGTTCTTTAAATCCGATATATACCAATTTTTACAACTCATCAAAATAATTTTATAATTAAGCTCAAAACTAAAAATATCTTATATAAATGTAAAATATATATAAAACAAATCAAAATTCGTTAACATTGTTTGAAACCATATAGTTAATAGGTACTGACTTGGAAAGTTTTGTCCATTGGCAGAGAAACTATAGGTACTTCTTTATGTTTGTCTCTTCGGCGACACTTCTCTGCATGTATGTGCTCTCAATCTCGGCTCTATACATCAAGATTCTGATGGATCATCAACGCGGAACCGTGTGGATGGCAATGAGAGCATCTCCTTGGTCAGTTGTGCTGATGGTATATTGCTTTATTGGCCTCTGGTTTGTTGGAGGGCTCACAGGGTTTCACTTGTACCTCATAAGCACAAACCAGACAACCTACGAGAATTTCCGGTACAGAGCAAACAGCAGAACCGTTGCTTATAACCGTGGCTGTACTAACAATTTCATGGAGGTGTTTTGCACCAAGGTTAAGCCCTCGAGGAACAACTTTAGAGCCTTCCTCGATGAAGAAGAGCCTCCAAGAGTTGTTGTTACTCTGCCAACAACCACCAGAGAATCAGAGGATGAAAGTGGAACCCGGAGACAGAAAGTGGAAGATGATCTAGAGATTGGAGATGATCTTATGAATATATCACAGAGATGTAATCCAGCAGAAGGGAGCAAGGAGCAAGCTCATCATGGTTTGGAGATTGAACAATCGATGCTTGGGGTTGCTGAGAGAGCGGGAACGATAAGGACAGAGACAAGGCATGGAAGCTGGGGAAGTAGAGGAAGTGGGAGCTGGGATATAGCAGCAGATGTGAGTAATTCTAATGTCAGGGAGAGTTGAAGCTAAAGCAACAAAAGAGGAAGGAAGGGGATAACGTGTTTATTACTTTTGTTTGTTTTTTAATTGGTTCCAAAACATTTGGAGAGGTCTCTTTTAGGACAGAAGTCAGAAGATCTGATTTGGTTTTGGAGGATTTGCCAATTCAGTTCATGTAATCTTTGAGTCTATTTCCTCTTCTAATCTTCTTTTCGTTTCCTTAATTGTGTGTTGTGCTATTCTGTTGATATTGTGTGGAATTCCATTGTGTATTTGCGGTGACTAAATCTACCATAACTCTGTAACTTTCGTGATGTGTTTAGCTCAGCCAAAATCCAGTTTTTCATGTCCTCTTACATATGGTTGCAAATTGTATAATCTTAAATCCACAGATATATGATGGAGTCTCAAGTCTTAATTGCTAAATGTGTTGATAAATGAGTTGTACAAAAAATTGCAATCCTTTGTTATTCTAAGGTATAGTACAATCATAAAATATGTCAAATATAGAAATACTTTTAGTATGATAAAAAAAGAAGCTTTTAGTACAATATTAAACTAGATTTTGACCCGTGCTTAAAAGCGCGCAAACTTTTTATGATTAAAAATTTGTATAATTAGATTTTGTTTTAATTTAAAGAATATTTTGATATAAAATCAGTTCACCAAAATTTGTGGTGATGGTTGTTTTTCATTAGTTTTTAGTTTCACTTTTTATTTTTAGATTTTGGTTTTTAGTTTTTAAGTTTCTACTTTCATTTTCAGTTTTTGGTTTGGGTTTTTAATTTTTAAACCCGCTGAGTTAGTTTGAACTGATATTACCAACAAACAAATCTCAAATAATCGAACATCTAATTTAAAACTGAAAAGATAAAAACAAATTAAAAAAGGAAATAGAAATAGTTTATATTGTAAATAACCAAAGCAAAAAAAAATATAATATGTGTTTTCAGCTTTTGGTTTTGGATTTGGTTTTTGGTTTTAATCAGTAAATTATTTAAGAAAAGTAATACAATAAATTATTTAAAAGTTACAATTGAAATTTATCAAAAAAGTGATTGTTATTTAAAATAAAAAATATATTAACATGTTTTAAAGTACATGATTTAAATAAATGATTAATAATAAATAATTTTGTTTTGTTAAAAATATTAAATATCTTTTGGGTCTGAAAATAATAATTGATTTTTTGATCTTTTAAGGTGAAAATTTTATTCAATGTTTTTGGAGTTTTTTTCTTAATACGAAGCCCAAAAACCAAACTATATAATTTGTTCAAAAAACAAAAGTATGCCCAAGACTATATTCCATAAATAACCACTGGTTTAATTTAAGTATAATTAGTAGATTTTCATATTCAATATTTTGATGATATATATTCTTTTAGAACATTCCATATTTGTAGGAGAAAATATGTGTTTTCGGTATACACAGATACCTGCCGTATTTTGAAGGTAGTTTACATTAAGGTCGTTTATTTACATTAATTGTGTTGGTTTAATTTAAGTAATACGGTTCAATCAATTATATGACTTATATTATGTGTAACATCCTAGAAATGGTCCAAATTTAAATGACAACTTGTATCAGTAGATAAAAAGAATGACTCTATTTTAATAGAGTAGATGCTTTAGGCTATGAAGTGTACATGTCAAATTTCAAAAATGACAAATTATATAAATTAATAAAAAAATTAAATTATCGTTTGTAAAGATCTATTTAATTTTTATTATTGTTTGTAATGACATAGAAAACTAGCTTTTAAAAATAATGAAGGCATGATCCGTGCGTCCATGAAAATATTTACTTTTAATTATATATACATAAATTATATTTAAGTGTTTATTGGTTAATATTTTAAATATTTATTATATTCTAAAAATGTTTATAAACACAATAAATAAATATTTTATATGTTGTTAGAAATATTGATCGTATGCCCTACTAAACCTTTGGAAAATATTAAGTGATTAATATATGTGAGTAATATAGTTTGAATTCTTTAGAAATTAATTCTGAACCTTTTAAAAAATGTTTTTGACTTTTTCCAAAAATAATTTTAAATCATCTAGAAAATGTTTCATTTCCTTACATCTGATATGTTGACAAATGTTACCTTTTTGTTCGATGATGTTGTTTAATGTTTCAAGAGTTAAGAAACGAATTATGTTTTTTGGAACTAAAGTATATTGATCATATTTAATAGTTTATGATTAAATAGAGTGTAGTTATAGACCTGATAAACCTTATGAACACTTTTATGAGTCTTTCAGACATTTAAAACTTCTCATTTTAATTGTCTTTTTTGATTCAATAGACAATCATTTTTATTAGAGCTAACAATATTTTTTTTGAGTATATACTTTAATTGATAATATAATTTCAGTTGGTCAATATTGAACGATGTTGTTTTATGTTTCAATCATGGTCACTTTGAAACTAGTGATAATTTTATATATATATATTTATAGAAAAAATAGTTTGGAAAAGAAGTTTCCATATCCTGTTTTGAATATCTCGTAACACTTCAGAAAATATTCTGAATATTTAAGAAACTAATTCTAAACTCTTCAGAAATCAATTTTGCACGTTTTTCTAATTTTTTTCAAAAAATAATTTTGAACCTTTAAAAAAAGCCTCATCTTTTCACATCTAATATATCGGCATGTTGTTTGAGAATGGCTCATCAACATAACCTTTCAGAAATATAATGACTGATAGACAATTCTTGAAATATACAACAACATCATCGAACAAGAGGGTAACATTGGCCGACTGGGATGATATTATTAATAAAAATATATACATTAGAAAATTATTGTTAGCTCTGACAAAAGTTAATGTATTTATAAACATCTTGTTGAAACAATAAAAGTATGTTTGGATATTGTTGCCTACATTAAATAGGATCTTGAGCAGTTTGCAAGTGGACATGATCAGTTAGTTATTTGTGTTTTACTTCAAAGTTAATGTATTCATAAACATAAGTCTTTATGAACATTTTATGAGCCATTTAGACAATTATCATTGGTGTCGTGTTTGCACATTCTCTCGTTGTCTAAAATACCAACCTTTCCCTTTCTTTTTCAGTGTCTTTACCAGAAGATTCACCACCCATTGTCATAATTTTTGAAGGGTTCAGATTTAAAATACTGAATAGAAAAGATTTGAATTTTTAAATTGATGACATTTTCTGAATGATACATAACTTATTCCCTGCATGTATATTGTCATATTATAATTTTATATGATTACATGTTAAAATATATTGTAAGTCAAATGTTGAATCCAAGATATTAACTTAATTTACATAGTAATAATAATTTGTGCTATAATTATTTTTTAAACACGCTATAGATTGCTCCGTTCTCATAAACAAATCTTACTTTACCAAGATAACCGAATTATCCTAATATTTTTCATACAAAAATATTTTAAGATATCAGCGTTTTTATTCAAAACCCCAAAATCTTTTATTTATTCTGAAACCTTTTTTTAACTTTTTAATCTAAATTGATCGGATGACTAAAACTAAACAAAATTCGGATTAGATATGAAATTATCTTGAATATTAGTCGGTTTCTAACTTTGTTATCCAAGATGAATCAAAATAAATGAACCAAAATCAAACAAAATTTCCTAAATACTTGAAGGGGTCCTATATTAGAGAACCCAAGAAGCAAAAACTAAAATAAACCAAATCAAACCAATACACCCAATACACTGCCTATATAGTTTTAGAGAATATATATGTTCTGAATTATTATTCATAATTATAACATGGCCAAAATATATAGGTATTACATAAATAAAATAAAAATTATTAGTCACAAACTCGGGCTACGCCCAGAAAAAATCCCTAGTTTTATTAAATATCAAATCACAGTATCTAGTTTGGCAAGTCTAATTATTATCTTTTTTTCTAATAATGTTAGAGAAAAAGTCAAATAAAATCTTCTTGTTGGATAAGTCAAAGGCATTATTAAATCATTTAAACAAAATCATCGCCCGATCATATATAAAGGCGACCGTGTCTCTATCTAAATTTTTGGGGGTAGTTCACGACATAAGCGGATGACTGGTACGCTTCTATAAGGATAACCTTTTCGATTCTCAGCCTCTTGATCACACCTCTCTCTCTCTCGAACACTCCTCGTGAAATTAGGGTTTCTTCGCGATGGATTCCACTACTACTCTCGTCGTCAAGGTTACAATCCTCCTTTAATTTGTTAAAACTCTTAATGATCCCAAGGCGTTAGCTGCCAGTGATCGTCTCGTATTCTTTAGTTTCGAATTTGATTTCGCTAACTGTCTACCTCTTGTTAAACTGAATCGAATATTCGCTTTTTAAACTATCTCTGCTAGAAGCATAGATCATAAGAAAGATTTGTTAAGGTATCCAAAATCATAAGCTTCTGTTTCAAAACTAGTATTAACGCTACTCGATTCGTACTGTGGAAACTTTCAATTTTTTGTGGTAACAATGATTTTCTATAGTTTTATTTTTGTGTTCGTTCGGGTGATTTTGTTTGTGAATCATTGTAGGTTAGCTATGGAGGTGTGCTTAGGCGTTTCAGGGTGCCTGTCAAAGCTAACGGACAGCTTGATCTTGACATGGCTGATCTTAAGAGAAAGATCTCTTCTCTGTTTAACTTCCCTGCGGCTGCTGATTTCTCTTTGACTTACTCTGATGAAGATGGGGACGTGGTGGCTTTGGTTGATGACAATGACTTGTTTGATGTCACGAAGCAGCGACTTAAGTTCTTGAAGATTAATGTGCAGTCCAACACTGACTCTGTTGCTGCAGTGAGTAGTGGGAGTTTAACAGCTTCTGGCATTCATAATAGCCTAAAACTGGTTTCAGAACTCCAGAAGTGTATAAATGATGTTCTGATGGCTTTACCTAACCCCATACGTGAAACCGTATCTAAAGCGGCATCTTCGAGCCCTGTTGTTGGTGAGGTGTTTGATTGCATCTCCAAGGTAGGGAAACTCTCTGTTCCTCAGGAAGGTAGTCGTTGCGCACCTGTTGTTACTAAGCCTGGTTCTTCAGGTACTTCTCTGAGGAAGGATGTTCCTTCATTTGGTGAAAAGAAGGATGTCTCTAAGAAGAGCCAGACCGGAAAGAAGCCTGCTAATCTGAATGAACCCACTGGCGTTGTTGATTCAACCTCCGGTGGACTGGGTGCTAGTTTCAACGAATGTCCCTTTAGTGGCAGTACCGTGAAAAACTCCAGTCCAAATCCAGTGATTTTTAAAAAGCATTCCCGGCGTTCATGTCATTCCAAAAAGAGCAGCAATGGTGATTACTGGACCTCACTGGGTATCTTCCATAAGGGCATCCGATGTGATGGATGTGGAGTTCTTCCAATAACTGGGACTAGGTTTACGTCGAAAGTGTAAGGAGGCCTTTTACTAGCAAGTGTGGAAATTTCAGACATCTTTAGAAAATTAGTTATGCTTATTTGTTTTTTTTTTTTGGTGAATATTTTGCAGCAAAGAAGACTATGATCTTTGCAGCATCTGCTTTTCGGTGATGGGTAATGAAGGGGATTACACAAGAATGGATAAGCCTGCCGTAGTTCAACATTCACATCCCTTTAGAGGACAACTTACCCCAGTATTGCTCTTCTTCTATGATTAAGATTCTTTTTTTTTTTGTCGTCTCTTTCTGTGGTGTAGCTATATGGACATCTAACCTTTCCTTTTTTGTCTCCCATATAGTTTTCGAACCCGTGGGTGGGCCATGTGCCGCAACCAGAATTTGGAGGTTTACATTTCAGGTGCACTCGGCCTAAGCCTGATAGTCGCTTTGTGGTTGATGTGAATGTACTTGATGGAACAGTTTTTGCTCCATCTGCTCAATTCACCAAGATTTGGAAAATGAGGAACAATGGCTCGCTGGTGTGGCCGCATGGCACAAGGATAGTCTGGATCGGTGGGGACAGACTCAGCAACTCATTGTCAGTTGATTTGCAGGTTAGAAACTATTTTCGTGGTTTTGCTACTTCTTTTACTCGATTCATAATTACGGATCAATTATGATGTTTGCATTACTCGCAGTTTGGCTTGAGTTAGCTTTTTCTCTGCACAAAGTGGCAATAGTTTTTTTTACCAGTTGTTTATTGGTCTTAACGTCATTGCAGATTCCAGTGGAGGGTGCGCCAATCGACAGTGAGCTAGACGTGAAAGTTGATTTTGTTGCACCAGAGTTACCTGGTCGTTACATTTCTTACTGGAGAATGGCTTCCTCTAGTGGTGCTAAGTTTGGACAACGTGTTTGGGTGTTGATACATGTACGTACTTGATCTTTGCTGGTCTTTCCGTTGAGTATCATTTTCTTAATCAAAATGTCGTTGATACTTTTTTTCTGTTGGTCGCGTTGTTAGGTTGATGCATCCTTGAAGGGTTCTCTTGTGAATGAGTTTCATGGACTGAACTTGAATGCCTCCCCTGATGAAAACTCTTCGAGCGAATTTACAGGGATCAATGTGAATCATGAGCCAGCTCAAGCTGGAAGCTCCAGTGTTAACCCTGGGGCAGTGGAAGGTGCTGATCGAGAAGGAGAAGCAGCGGGATCACAAATCCCAGAAAAAGATGACCTACCGGTTGGTGAAGTTAAGCCCGCTACTCTTACTCCATCTTCATCTTCCTCATCATTCAACATGGTCGAGTTCCCAAACATGCCTGCTGTTGAGGCCTTGGGTGGTGGTTCGTCATCTACAAAGGAAATCCCTCTTGATCTTCAAGAGGATGTTGAGAAGAAGGACGTGGAGAAAAGCATGCTCAAGGAGCTAGAGGAAATGGGTTTCAAAGAGACTGATTTGAACAAGGAGATCTTAAGGGATAACGAGTACAACTTGGAACAGTCTGTTGACGCTCTTTGTGGAGTTAGCGAGTGGGATCCTATCCTGGAGGAGCTTCAGGAAATGGTGAGTGTCTACAATTTGTAATTTAAGATTTGAAAATGGTGTTGTTGATTATGTGGATTTTGCCAGGGCTTCTGTGATGATGTGACGAACAAGAAGCTGCTGAAGAAGAACAATGGAAGCATTAAAGGCGTAGTGATGGACCTCCTCACTGGAGAGAAGGAGGCTTGATGTGTGGCTTTTGATTCTGGAACTTCTTATCTATCAGGTTTTAAACTATGTTTTAGTATTAAATAAATCCTGATTATGCTTGTTTGATGGATGATGGATCTTATTATCCAAAATAAATGTTAAGATCTTTTATAACTTTCAAGTCATTGGCCTCAACTAATTTGTATTTCAAGTTACTGAACGGCAGTGATCTGCTATAGAAGAAACCGTTCACTGTATGGTGAATGGTGATTATGTGCTAAAGCCTGGTTGCTAATATTTAAATCACTGACATGGAATACTAACGTCAACTGTGAATTAGATCGTCAAGGAGAAAGAAAACATATTACTTTAGAAGAAGCTTCGCATTCAGAGTTCAGACGCAACAAAAAAAAATCATCAAAGAGTGTAAGAATCTCGTCTAAACAAAATACAAAGAGCTAGAGAGAAGGAGAAGGCACAATAGATAATCTCAATTCTTAAAAACGCCTGGGACGCTCCTCCGCTACATTCACTCTGATTGCTCTACCCTCCATGTTCTGCAACACACAGACATAAAGAAAGATCGACTGAGAGATAATCACAGAATCTGCAGTACCACGACCATATATGAGGAAGAGGAAGGTACCTGTCCATCAAGAGCAGCGATAGCGTCATTGAGTTCAGTCTCGTTAGACATTGTGACAAAACCAAATCCACGTGAACGACCTGTCTCACGGTCATAGACCACTCGCGCTTCCACAACTTTGCCATGCTCACTGAAAACTTGTTCTAGACGACCGTTGTCCACATCCCATGGTAGGTTTCCGACATAGACTCTGAACGCAGGCTCATATACCCTAGGTTGGCGTTCTGGACGTGATCCTCTTGGTGCTGCCTTGTTTACTGTTAAAAGCCTTCCGTTAAGATCCTAAACAAAACGTTGAAAAAGACCAAACACATAGATGCTCAGTAATCTCCTCACAAACAGCTTTATGGAGAAGAAAGACAGACACGTTGGTAAGATAAGATATGGTAAGAAACATTATAAAACTTACATAACGGTTGAACTTCTCAACAGCAGTCTCAGCTTCCTCCACCGTACTCATTGTCACAAATCCAAACCCACGACTCTGGTCTGTCTCCCTATTGTATATAACCTTCAAAACCACAAGAATCCAAAGAATAAATCAGACTTAACAACATAATCTCTACGAACATACAATGTCAACAGTAATAAATTCAATCCACACAATCCTGATCACTTCAAAAGTACTCTCAAGCTAAAGATGCTCCAAACACTTAAAAGCCAAAAACTTTACCTCAACTACTTAAGCAATGCACAATTAACATAAACGCATCAATTAAATAAACATTCACCTCAGCGATTTCAACAGTACCGGCTTGCTCAAAGAGCATAGCCAAGGCTTGACTATCAACATCATAAGCCAAGTTTCCAACGAATAACTTCGCTTCCTCCGGTGGCTCCTGAAAGTCACCTCCTTCACTCACATCTCCTTCTCCTTCCAAAAAAGTTTCTTCTGGCTCGTTCTCCTCAACGGCGACTGATGAGTTCACATCCCCACTTTCTTCCCCTTCCCAATCCGAAGTTTGAGCAACGAAGGAGACGAAAGGAGACTTCTTTAGGTTGGTTTTGGTTTTGAGAGATAGATAGACGCGGGAGAAAGAGAGAGGGAGGTTAAGGAAGGAGCAGCGAGGGTAGATGGTGGAGAGTGAAGGGTGTGAGAAGATGGTGGAAGAGTCTGCTTTGGCTAATGGCTTGAAGCTTGAGGTTACTATTGAAGAAGCCATTGCAGAGAGAGGAAGTGTGGGGGAGAGAGAGATAGGGATAAGGAGGGGGACGTAAAGAGAGAGCAGGAGACAACTATTCGATACCAAAGTGAAAAAAATACTTTAAAGAAAAATAATTAAATTGATCTGATTGGGCTCAATATTGGTCCATTCGATTGGGATGGGCTTGGTTTAGTTTAGATAGTTTGGGTTTTGAGTTTAACAGGTTCTAGAAAATAGATCTGAAACTGAGACCTATGTCTTCATGTGTGGAATCAAGGTAAAGAAAACAACCAATGTGAAAATTCTCTAACTAGTTTGATGTTGTCTTAACGCCTTTAACGACCACCGTCAGTGGACTCTTATATCCACTATTGTCGGCATGTGGGATATATTGTGGTTGTATGATCGGTATCCGTTACATTATTTTCGAAAGGTTTGAAGACTTTGTGTTACTGATTTTAATCATGTGATTTTTTTTCACGTTTTGTTCTCCCACGGTATCAGAATTCATTTTCAGATAGATCAATAATCCTTCGCCTATTCCAATTCAAAGATGTTGACTTTAATTCTTTATAAGTATCCAAATTCATTTTCTGATAGATTAATAATCCTTCCACTATTCCAACTCAAGGATGATAACTTTAAAATTCTTTATAAGTAACTGAACAGATAAATGTAATTTACCAATTCAAACCTAATACATCACATCGTTCTGTGACTATTAACCACATGATCTTTATATTTCTTCTTTTATTTCCTTGATAAATTAATATGTTGCACATGTGACATGACATGGCCAAGAAAAAGGTGTATTATATTGGTTAGTTGTATGGAGAAAAACGAATACATTGGTTAGTTATTTTAGTTGTTATACAAATTTATAATATCCACAATCAGTTGATAATAGTCAACACTCGAATATAAAGACCACTCAATCAAAAGTAGGGCTGCTGAGACACATGATAGCTCCAGTTTTTCTTCCTTTTGAATTATTTGTATTTAACCACAATCAGTCCATCGACCAACTACATTTTCCATATGGGGCTGCTTTGTGTAAATTTAGCGGACGGTTCGTATATCAATAAACAATTACAACAGTACGTAGTACTATCATTTATGAAAGAAAAGAACAGCAGATATAAATTATATTTGATAAGAGGATCAATACATCTGCACTTGTTACTAACCTAATAAAAGATACCTTAAAACAGAAACTCCTTAGATGGGTCCTATGAGCACTGAAGCCAGAGGTTTTATCCTCCTTAACTTTAGCTCAAAAAGAAGAAAAATCAAAAGAAAGTTATAACTTTGGCTTTAATTGCCTTTTCTATATAATGCTTTTGAATTGGCTAAGTACACTTAAGTGAGCCACTAAAGGCCACAATCAGCAGCGGGAACCCTTACGGCAATTCAATGCACCAGAGCCCACCGTCAATGGTCCAACTAGAGAAGAAGGTCTAGCCCCAAGACTCGAAGCCCTGGCATAACTAGACGAGGCAGCACCACCGGATGGAGTAAAAAACGCACCGTTTAGCAATAAATCACCAGAGGATCTCCAGTTCCAGCTCTTCCACTCACTCTCTGGGGCGTCCTCATGCTTAGTCACTTCTTTGCTAAATCTAATATCCGGGGCCAAAAATCTGTTCCCTTGACTATTGATTGTAGGGTTTAGCACTTCCACCAATAGCATACATCTCCCAATGTGTATAGTCATTGTTCACCACATGGAAGTACCCATGTCTACACCTACACCCATCCAACATATGGTCCCAAAAATTTAATCACACATCAAAATCACATTATTATTTTTTGGAAAATAAAATCACATTTTTTTTTTGTCCGCAAAAAAAAAAAAAAAATATATATATATATATATATATGTGTGATTTTATCTTCTAACAAAAATCCCACATTATTTATATTTTTTTTTTACCTTGGCATTCTTTGAACAAGGCCTTCACCAAAATGATTAAAAGCAATGGTGATTTGCATATTCTTGTCACGAGTGTAAGTGTCACTATGACCAAGCAACATGACCTTATCATGATGCGTCATGTAATTGTTAGACAAAGTAATAGCCGTGGAGCCCATTATAGCATCAATAAGCCCGTCTTCGCAGTTAGATAACGAACAATGGTCAACCCAAACATGACTCCCTCCAAAGATAGAGACACCATCACCGTCAGATATCGTTCTCCATCCATAATGCCGTGGTGAGCTCCGCACCATAGCGTTCCCACCTGGCTTGCAATCATGGATATGGATCCCATGTATGATGATGTTTGTCACGTACTGGATCGTGATGCATGGCCCACCAGAGATGTGTACCGACGCGCCACGACCGTCTATGGTCTTGAAAGAGTTCATGATCAACTCTTCTTTCAGCTGAATGGTCATGTCTCGTTGGAAAATGATCCATAGCGGCTCGTCTTGAACCACGGCGTGTCTTAACGTTCCGGGTTTAGGGGTCACTGGGTCATCGTTTCCTGAGTCTGTCACCACGTAGATACGACCGTCTCGGCCGCCGATAGCGTTCTTACCGAACCCTATGGCGCAGTCTGCTAGACGTTGACGGTTGGTCTCCCAGTGTGGGTCGCATCTCCAACAGTCGTCGATAGGGTTACCAGTGGTGCATGAGAGGTAACCTAGCTTCCTTCTTCCAGCAACCGACGCGTTAATGCTCCTGCAACAGTTCACAACCAAGAATATTATTATTAGTTTATTACGTGAGAAGTTGTGTTTCAAGTAAAAGTGTGTAAGAAGAATATGAAAGACAGAAGAATATTTGTACTTGTGAACTTCTTCGACAACAGCTTCTGGGTCTGGTACTGGTGAGGATAAGATCAATGGAGCATAGAGAAGAATGGAGATTATGGAGATAATAAATAGCTTCTTCGTCTGCATTTTTCGTTCTTTTTTTTCTAATCTTGAGTTCAAGTAAGAGAAGAGGGAAACAAAGATGGAGGAAAGGAGGTTTGGGTGGGAACTGAGAGAAGATTTGAGAGTTTATATAAAGGAAACTCCACACTATTTGTTATTGGACTTTTCGGTTTACCCGGGTGAACTTTAGGAGAGAGGAGTTCATAGATTTTTGTTATTTTATTATTTTATTTTTTTGGTTTCCGTGTGAACCCCCCATTTGAACTCTCAATGGGGGTGAACCCCTCTCTCCTAAGGTTCACCACGTGTCAGCCCGGGATTGGTCTAGGTCTTTTTTTTTCTTTTTTTTTTAAAAAAAAAATCAAAAAAAAAAACAGAAAAATTTTAATAATAAAAAACTGATTCAATGAACCCGGTTCATTGATGTGGATGCTCTCTTTTAGGTCCCACTCTCTTTTATATCTGCTTTAGTAGAGAATTTATATAATAATAATCTTTATGATGAACCAATAGAATTGCTTATATCCGTTACAATTGTTGACATTAAACAAAAGCCTCCAATCCAATTAGGTCGAAAATGTTATACTTTTCAAATAAGTTCCACTTGGTCTGTTTAGGCGAATAAAAACAATTGGAAGTTGGTTTTGAGGTAATGATTAAGGATCCAAACTGAGTAACCATTCTAGTTGATAACAAATACTCCTTTTAAAGAACGTCAAACCAACAGCAAAAACGTATCAGTTTATAACAATTTCACTCGAAAAAGAACCTAACAAAAGTTTGAGATGTTATGTAAATCATAACCTATTATAACTGATGATGCAAATTAAAATATATAATAGAAATTGCCAATAGGTTGCTAGTTTCTTTTCGTTCTGATCATGCTTTTACTTTTGCATTTCATCAGACTTTACATTTTATGTTTCAGGATATATAGTTGCATTTATTGCAAAAAAATATATCTAAAATACATTAGAAAGTGTCCGTATCAGAACCGTTTGCCTTTATTATTCTGAGAGCTGACTCTCCAACCATATACTAATACTATAGCACATGTTAGGGAAGATATCGACGAGAAATAAAGATAAACCGACAGAACAGAACAAGTCAAATTAATCGAGTACCAGACATAAATGGCAAACATGCAGAAAATAGAATGAAATGATGAAAAAAGAAAATAGTAAAATTTGCTAACCAGAAAATAGTAAAATTTGCTAACCAAACTAATGTACATTTAGGATTATGTAATTGTTTTTGATTATGGTTTTTCTTTTTTCTCAAGTTTAAGCTCATTTGCTATAGGAGTTTTTAGTCTTACTATTTTATCATTGACTCGTTTCAGCCATTTTCTTCATGATTGGTGTGGTGAAAATGACGTGAAAACAGTAACTTCTTTTTCTGTTTTCAGTTTTCACCATATTTCTTTTCCACTTCTTAATGCACCAATCACGGCAGGGGATTTAAATACGAATCTATGCTCTTAAGTCATTAGTTAATAGGTAATGATAGGGTTAATGTGAAAAGCATCAGAGAGATGTAAAGAGGAGTATAAGTGGGACATGTAATGCCTCGTGATTTTGCAGGTTTTACGGGATTCATTTTTAGTTGTTAGGTTGTTTCGACAGTTTAAGCATGCTAGCCTTGGACAAACGTAATCAAATGATACTGTTGGTTATCAAAAAAAAAAAACTAAAAACGTGATTGAGTATTATAAAAAGTCAAATAACATTGTAACAATAATGTCAAAAATTTGTGTCAAAATAACACCCTTATTCAAAACCAATGTTCTGAGCGATACATAGACTGAATGAATTTTCTAAAAGAATTGATTTAGATGTATATATAATACCTAATTACTGTTTAATAATTTTTTGAACATTATTCAAAACACAAATCACATATAAAAGAGAGTTACAATATTACAAAAAAAAAAAAAGAAATTGATGAAAGAGTGGGAATCAATCAAGGAGAGTCTCAACAAATCTTCACATTCACTCCACAAAGATAAATGTGACAATGACACTTAAGATTTGAGTAACCACAGCACATGCGTCCCAAAGACTTATTATCGTTTGAAGGGCTAAGCAGACAACTCTTACGTGCATGCAAGCGACGTATCATTCTTTTTTACTTTTGTTTATTGAATTTTGTTGTCCGTAACGTTCGCCGATAATTCGAACATAAGCATGTAATCTTATGGCATCCACTCATAAATATAATACGTGGTACATCTCATGTTATCCTCTATGATTTCTTTTTCGTCGATGTGGACCCAAATCATCGATGACTTGCGTTCAAAGGAATCTTGATTGACTCCAAGTTTTTTTTTTGTGACGTAACAACTCAGAAGGACTCTAGTGTCAGACTACCAATTGTCTAAATAATCATTCATTTAACATACAACTATGTTCTTTAATATATAGAAAATATATTATATTAAACCGTCCCAAACGGGGCATAAGTTCAATATATTGCGTACCTTGAAAAGTTGGAATCAATACAAAATTTAAAAGGAATTAATGGATCATATTATAGCCAAACGATAGGTTAAACATGTTGCTATCCAAAACGAATGGTTGGGACTCTTTCCTCGTTTGTCCTCAACCGAAGATGCTAAGCTAGGCTAACCTATGAGAAGTGTGAAGTAAAACAATGTGATGACCTCATAGATTATACAAGTTTCTCTCTCTCTCTTGGGCATCTATCCATGTGGTTATTTCTTGTACTTCAAGGGTTTGAGAATTCTGCAATAGATCTAAATCTTTTCATGAGTATTAACGTGTGTTCTCATAATTGAATGTGAAACTGACAGTTGAATAGTTTTTTTGGGTCACTGGATATTTGCGTGTGTAGACAACTTGCTGCTTTGATTGTATCATTTGCCAGAGAAAAAAAAAGATTAAATTATGTTCTGTGTTTGTTTTCTTAATCTCTTGAGTATAGCCTCCTCAAAGACCTAAATCTATGCTTCTGCTTTCTACCTGAAAATTTGTTACCTTCCATTACAAAACAGCTTTTGCTAAACAATTATTAAAAAATAACACTACAAAAGAGTCAGTTCATTGTGTTAAACCTGGTGAGAGTCTTCCAGATGCAAGCAAAGCCTCTTCTGCAATAGGCTTCCACTGTTGAGCACACGAGTAGTTTAGCCCAATCCCTACGCTGAGTCCTCTTAACAGAATCACCGTGCGAAGAACAGAGAATAGTTCCTCTGGAAATCCCTATCCCACAACAAACAAACAAACAAACAGAGTTTATTTTTTTTGCATTATACCCAAAAACACACAACTGTTTGCTTGACAAATATGTGTTTGTACTTTTACCTCAACGGATATCTTTTTGATGGAAGAGTCTTCTGAGAAAGGTTGCAGAACTGCTACACCGGGAGGCATCTTTGTATCGAACATTGTTTTTGCTAACTGGAGAAGTTCTTGCTGCTCATTTTCACACTTGGCAAATGTAACTATACCAAGTTCCCTGAATATTCACCACGGAAACAATCAAGGAATCATATGGTACAATAATCTGACCAGGTGAATGTAACCAACATAAGTTAAAAAAGGCTTATTACAAACGGTTTCCTTATCTGTACCATGTGATCCCTTGGCAGAGGTAAAAGTAATTTTTGAGTTACCTAAAGCTCTGTGATGCCAATGAGGCATTGTTATCAGCGATGGCAATGACCAAATTTGCATAACCAAGTCTCAGGTGGTCAGGTAGTTCCTTCACTTGACCATAATCCAGCAGTGCAACCTAACAACACGTAACAATATCACAAGTCAAAAAACATAATTAACGGCAAAACAAATAAATAGAGTCAATTAATAAAATTACCAAGGAGAATAACTAGAAACAAAAGATGACTTGCCTCTGAACCTTTACAAATCAAGATGTTCCCAGGATGTGGATCAGCATGAAAGAAACCACTCTTCAGTATCATTTGGCCATATGCTTTAGACAAACTGCTAAGTATATTTCTATGGGAGCAAGAAAAAAAAAAAGAAGAATTTTCCATTTTGGTATCAAGGCAAGATCCAAATGCTAACCAAGAAACAGAGATTAAAAGCAGAGAGAGAGATCTTGTCGATTCCTAGAACATAGTAGCTTACAGTTTTGCTGCCTCTGCCACCTTACCACGAGGATTTATCCCTCTTTTGGCCATTTCATCACCGAGTCTCAAGATTGGGATTCCGTCAATGTAATCCATCACCAGAACCCTCCTGTGTGAATTATGGTTATCCTCTGATCAGCACAAATTTGTTAATAGAACAGAAAAGAAAAGAATCTTGGTTGAAAAGAGATTCATGATCAAAAAGACAGAAACCATATTCATGATCACTAAAACAAGACAACTTAAAAAAAAAAAAATTATTGAGATAACTGGAAGGCTAATATATGAAGAGGTACCTTGTCACCAAATGTGGCAACACCCTGGGAACGAGAACAGGACTCTTTCTATTGTTATCATAAAGAAAACGACGGATCTTTTCCATTGCATTGGCCTCCCTTTTGAAGTCAAATTCATACCCAATCTTAAAAAAAAAATTAAACACACAAGAATATCTAGTGACTTGAGGGCAGTAAAATTCTCTAACCAGATATTCTTACAATACATGGTACCTGCTTCTCCATTTCCTTTGTTATGGAGAACATGTCAAATTTGACATCTGTTTTCTGCAGGTATAATGCAAATATTTGCAAGTTTCGTATGTCTGTCATCATCAGTTTCTCAACGCCAGGATGTTGAACCTAAACATGTGGTTTCACATTCAGACACTAATGAAAAATTCTAGGAAGCTCTCTCAGTTGTGTCTAATGATTATTCTCACCTTTACAACAACATCCCTCTTGTCTCCCTTTACTCTTGCACGATGAACCTAAACCAGAACCAGCAAACAAGAAAGAGGTGAAAATGTATGTCTTGCTTGAATTGCATTTACTAATTTTTTTCTCATGATGATAGTATCAACTTAATCTTGTTTTATAAGCATGCACGGAAGTACGCTAGAAAGGTTCTCAAACAGTTGAGTGATTTATCTTCTAGTACCTGAGCAATAGAAGCAGACCCAAGAGGCTTATCATCAAAAGTTTCAAACACTTCATCAATGCTATTACCTAACTCTTTCTCTAGGACAAGTCGAATTGAGTCGAATGGTGTAGAAGGAGCTTGATCACACAAAGTGACAAGTTTCCTAACCCAAGCAGCTGGTGCCAGATCAGGTTTCCCTAGAATTTGTGCAACCTATTGAACAACATGAAAAGAAACTCAACATAAAGCAACAGTTGAACAGTTCAAAAGTACATTCTTTCCCAATCTAAGAAATCAAACCCTCACATTTCATGGTAACAACAAGATTTAAGATAAGAACACCAATGTGGGAACGTCTTTGATCATCACAAAACTTAAAGAACAGTCTCAGCACACCAAACAAGAAAAAAAAGGCAAGTAAGAGTTCCAAATTAGTATCACCTTAAGGAAGAAACCACCAAGGTCAGAGCACATATTGTAAATTTTGTGAGCAGCAAGTTCATGCTGAGTCTCCCACATTTCCTCTTGCTTCTGAACATCCTTGACGAAGCTCACTCTAAGTTGAAATACCTAAGAAACCACCACAAAGCAACACACAGTTTACAACTTGCATGCAACAAAGGGAAAACTGTGAAAGAAGAAGAAGAAAGGAAATTAAACCTTGTATCCGGTGTAGATATCAGAGGCACGAGACCAGAACTGAAAAGACCTTTGCCATGGCCGGAAACTATCAGAGAGCTTTTCTTGAATCTCTTTGAAATCAATCGCATGCATTTTCTCGCATTGGAAGTCTCAAAACAGAGAAGAGATAATAAAGAGAGGATAAAGTCAAAGACTTGTGTGTGGCCGAACACCGCTTGGCTCAGAGTTAAAACCGCAAAAAGAAAAAAAAAAGAAAAAAAAGAATAGTGTTTGTATACATTTAAAGGTAAGGAATCAGACACTGCCTCTTTGCTGTAATAATATTTGCAACTAAATAAAGTGATGAAGTAGGATTTTACGGTTCCCGCCGGAATATAGGTAACTAACTAAACTCTAATTAAAGCAAATTATCTCGGGCACGTTCGTTTTCCAATAAAAGAGAAGAAACCGCTTAAAACTGTAAACTCTTTTTTTTTTGTAAAGGAAAATTGTAAACTTTATCCGCAAAGGTTCCATGTTTACAAGTTTCAAGCAAGTGAGATTTTGCTCTCTGGACTCTGCAATGTTTTTGATCCTAAGTATCAAACACCGGAAAAGGGAATATATTCATCGAAGTTTCGATCAAGCTCAAGAAAAAGGTGAGAGAGGAATGTTTGGATCATGCATTTTGTTGATTCAAATCAGTGCTTTTTCTTTTTAAACTCATTGCGGATCTGGTAATACGATATGTAATAAGATTTAAGTTTTAAAAAAAAAACATTATTTAAAAACCTCAAAACTCTTAAAACCTAAGATTAGACCACCGGTTAAACCAATGAGTGACCCAATATGTAATCCAGTTTAACTTCAATTGTTTTTGAAAAAAAAAATATTTTTATATATATTCATTAATATATAGATGAATTAGGGTGGGCTCACCCTTGAGATATTCTTTACAAATAAGATACATTTTAAATTTTATAATTTTTCTGGTTTTTATTATATGTTTGCAGTGGAAAGTTTTGTTATTATGTTTTTATTTTGTAATATTTAAAATTTTGAGAGGTTTGATTATGATTTTAAGAGACATTTTATGATTTTTATATTACATTCACATGTGCATTACACTTGTGACACACATTATTATGGAGAATATTATTACTTTGAGACACACAATCTGAGTTGTAAATTACTCCAAAAGACACAATCTGAATTGACACATTTTTTGCTTGCAAATTTACTAATATAGCCTTTTTATTTAAACAAAATAAATCTGCTATTCTTTTTTTTAGTTGTAAAAATAAATAATCTATTTTTTTAACTTTTTAATAATGTTATCTATTCAAATCCCTAGAATCGACAAAAGCTAAAAAAAAAGAATCTTAATCCCTTTCTCTATTCACCCTTTTCCCTTTTCCCTCAATCTTCTAGATCTAGAAATCGAATTCTGATACCGGATGTTAGAGAAATAAAACCTTAATTTTCTCGACCAAAAATCGTTCCTAATCCCTAATCTACCTTTCTTTTCAAATTTATTCCTTCCATCGCCAACGGTACTTTCTCGCCGCCGTTGTTTCCTAGGTAATCTTCTACATGAAATATATTTTTCCAATTCTTGTCCACAATCACTAACTCTAATCTCAACGGAAGCGGTGGTGGAAGACATGAGAGTGAACAATAGTGGAGATGGCTACTACAGAGGAGGAGGAGGAGGTGGTAGATTTCGTGGTAGTGGATGCCGTGGTGTGGATGTAAATATAGAATCGGAAGATGTGAGGTGTAGGTGGATGCCGTGATGGTGAATGTGGATACGGAGGTGGAAGAAGTGAGGCAGAGGAGGTGGTGATGGATACCGCGGCTGTGGATGTTGTGGTCGTGGATGTTGACACGGAGGTAAAAAATGTGTGGAAGAGAAAGTAATGATGGATGCTATGGTTGTGTATGTTATAGTGGTGGATGTAGATATGGAGGTGAAAGACATGAAAAGGATAAAGTGTTGGTGGATGCGTGTTGGTGGATGTTGTGGTGATAGATGTAGATATAAAAATATAATACGTGAAAAGGAGAAGATGATAGGAGATATATGTATTCTGATCCAACAACCCAGATTTTTTCACATTAAATCAAATTCACCATAAACTAATTCAAGGGGTTTGGAGATATAAGATCTAGACAAACAATAGAAACTGAATAATCTATTCAAAATAAAACATGAATTTAGGACCCGGTCGTTTAGCATCTCTGGTTTGTTTGTGAAGACTACAAACTCACATTTCTTAGTGTGAGAAAGATATGGTAGACATCAAAATCAAATCCTGCAGAAAATGCAACAGTGAGGAGTGACTGGAGATACAGTTTAATGATTACCATCCCTCTTGCCATGGACCTAACACTCTACCTAAATTTCTGAACCTAAACTTTTTCAAAGCCGTAGTCCTAAATGTTTCAACTTCTCGATTAGTCCCATTGTTACTTATAAATCTCAAAGGAAAAAGGGAAGAGTTTGTTTTTGAAATCGTTGAAGATACCTTTGAGTCAAGAAGAAGCAATGGATCGACTTCAATGGTGCTGCTACAGCTACCGGCTTTCAAATCAGCAAGAATGAAATCCGAGTTTGTCATTCTGCTCAATTTTTTTTTGTTGGATTGTAAAGAATGAATGGATGGTGTTCATGGATGAAGGCTGGCCTTTTTATATATGGAGAGTCACTGAATGAAGAGAGGAGAGATGCATTGAGTGAGAACGATTGAATGACAACGATTGAATGCATAGTGTAACGTTTCCAATTTTCATTACCCGACATTTTAGATATCCAGACCAAACAACACGAACAGTAATTTGCTCCAGAGATCTGCTGTAAATAGTCGTCTCACAATCAACTTCCAGAAACTCCATGGGCGGTTTTTGAAAGTAAAAGGTGAAGAACATCATGAACCCTAAAAATAAAAGACGAAAAGGATGCGTGTTTATCATGTGTATGTTATGAGTTTTACCAGTAAACATAACAAAGAAGAAGACGATGTTATGAAACCTATAAATATGTAAGCGACCATTGTCGAAGAAAGAGAGTTTGAGAAGAGGATCTATTCTATTAAAACAGCTGCATGGCCAATTAATAAAAGTTCAGTCCAACAAAAACAATTAACTACATATACATATGTTTCTAATATAACTGCTACTTAAATATATATCTATCTATAATAATAAAGTTAACATATCTGCCCCCACAATGAGCCACGTCCTTTTTTTGATATGGGGGGTTTTTCAACACGTGTTGACTTCTGGTTGGTTGTAATTTTTTTTTTGCGAGAATTACAGAAACTGAACCTTCTTCGCCTTCACGTTTTCTCCTTCACTTCAACTTACAGTTTTTTCAGATCTTCCTCAAACACATATTGAATTCACTTATCCATGTTCTAATGTACATGAATCACTCCGATTTCACAAGCGTAAGTTGGAGGATGAACTGAGGCTGACCAAATCGAAATTACTTGCTACCAAAAGATCAATGCAAAGAGATCTCCCTTTGGGCACATCTAAGAATCCCAACTTTGTCTTTAGGTATTGTGAGTTTAGCATTTATTTTCAATTCAATCATCATAGACAATCTGTTTCTACTTCATCGCATCATGACCCTTTTTTGTCTGCTTGATTTCTCATCTCTAAGGTTTGAACGGGGCTGTGTGTGTGGATTTGAGAGATTGATGTTATAACTCAAAATCTATGGCCGTTTCCAATGCAGTCCATGTCAGTTCGAAGCTTCAGAGATGGTATTGGATACAAATGATCAGTCTTCTTCGCCTGCCGATTTCTGCGTTGAATGGTCAATAGGTCCAGCAAAGGCCTTATCCAGAGAGTGCGTTGCGAGATTCTGCGTCCAATGCAGCCAGCATCTCTGCTCCGCTGCAGCTCAACACTTCTGCTATTGACAGTTCAAAATTCTGCTTTTTACACATCTTTGTTTGATATTCTCTCCTCTTTTCTCCGTTTCACCAACAAAAAAAATGCACTAGGTTCTGTTTATTGAGGGCTTTAGCAAGTTGTGAATGCAATATGTAGGTTAGATTTTATTTCTTTCTTCTTAGGGTTGGAAAATTAGTTTGAATTTCCATGTAATATGTGCAACTCAGCTTAACTGTGATCTCAAATTTGTAAGCATGAGATCTGAAATTGGTTTTTCTGTGTAGGTTAGTGACTAATCTTCAGGTGGGACTAGCTCAGTCGAAGAACCTTTGGTTAAGGAGAAACACCACAGTCCAGAAAACTACTCTGTTCTTGCAGCCATTCCCTTGTGAGCTCTTTTTTCTGTCGTTTTTTATTGTTAGATAGTCATAGCACCACCAACTGTGGTCACACAAAGATTGTGGTTGCTATTAATAGAATATTGTCGACGTTTCTTCTAAAAAAAGCAAATGTTTGGTTTGCACATGGGTCATACCAAGAAGACATTTATTGCAGGTTTCTCTTCCCAGCTCTTGGAGCTTTGCTTTTTGGTTACGAGATTGGTGCTACTTCTCGTGCCATTATTTCTATTAAGGTAAAAGCTTCATCTTTTCCTAAAACTGTGCTTTGGTTATTCACACGCGCATCTACAGTGGCATTGTGTGCCCTTGATTTTATTACTGCATATGTATTCGTTTAGTTGTCTAAGCCCTTCGCAGTTCTGGTAGTTACTCTGTTTTTTTCTTTACTGTACAGTCTCCTACGCTAAGCGGGATCTCATGGACTGTTTTTGCTCTGTGTCGTCGGATTACCGAACTGACTGTTGTGGTACACCCTGGAGTTAGAAACCTGCCAAGCTCACAGGTAACTCGCCATTCAGGAGTTACGAGATAGCTCGCGTCTTATAAGAAGGTTAGCAATTACTTTTTGGCATGGGAGATTCCTAAATCAATTAATTAATGGAGACTTCGTCGAATCATTTTTATGTTTATCATGGAACTATTCTGGTATAGGTTGTTTGCGAATAACTAGAATGGATCCATCCAAGCTCTACTGGCGCTCATCCTCCAAAACAAACGTACATGCATAGAATCAAACCCGAAGGGTCACCTACTTACAAGTTACTCCCCTAATTTCTGGTGGTTTTCTCTTATTCGCTGCAGAGCTTTATTAACTCAAGTAAATGGCCAGAGAATCCAATTATTTGAGTATCCAAGGGGGTAATTGACATATAGCCTACTCAATATTTGAGTCATAAATTCGTTAAAGGATCGTGCTTACTTTATTTTTTCTTTGTTTAGGCACACAAGTGTGCTTCGGTGATAGGAAGAACTAGAGGTACCAAAGTAAAATAACAAAAATCCCATCTCTATGTTCCATGCACTCATGCATACATTTGGAAAATGATTTTCCAGCCTGATTGGTGTATTGCTCTAATCTATGTTTCAAGAGCAGCATACCATTGAAATCAATTGGAAAGTAAACTATATTCTAACAATCAATGGATCCAAATCAATCAGCTCAAGACTTGCATGTATATCTTCTCTCTCTGTATATATTTGAATTGTCAAAGACTACCCTCAACATTAAAATTGTCCTTAAGTTACTTTCTCTTAAATGACAGGAGATGTATGGGGACTACTTGAAGCTCAGATCAAGAGTTGAGATCCTAGAACATACACAACGGTACTTAGCGTGATTCATTACATATCTTGGAAAGTAAATGCTTGCTCCAATTCTCCAGCTAACTAACTCTTCTGTCTTTAGGCATTTGCTAGGTGAGCCGGTATGGGAGTGGATGAGCTTGAGCAGCTAGAACTTCAAGTAAATACATCACTAAGGCAAATAAGATCCTTAAAGGTATACGCAATCTCAAGAAATCACAAGCTTATATTTGATTTGGTCCAAAGAGAATTTAGAACAGTACCAAATCTTGGATTTTTTTTTCTCATTGCCAGGCCCGTTCGATGCCTAATCAACTCTCTGACCTCAAAACAAAGGTACATAAAGAGCCTCATAGTGTTCAATAATCTCGATATAACACTCTAATATTGATTTATTTACAGGAGGAAACGATATTGGAAACCAACAAAAGTAGTGCTATCAAAATCTTATAGCCCAAGAAATTGAACTCATTTGAGATCTTTTACAACATTGCCTGTCTTTCTCTCTGTCTCTATCTTAGTTGGAGGAAAACGATGCAGCCCTTAATAAATCATTATAGGGAGCTTCTTCTTCTGCAGAACATCATCAAGAACAGCAACAACAAGGCATGAGCTCTTATCAAGCAAACGTTCCAAGTTAAGAAGTGGGTATCTTCAGGCCTTTATAGGGCAATGTAGCATTGCAGATGAGGTATTCATCATAGAAAAACAGTGAAGACCCAATCAACCGACCTTCTATGGTCAGCTAGACTTTTTTTTGTTTTTATGGAACAAATGTTATTAACAGGTTCTTCCCTTAATGGATGGTCTGAAACATACATAGCAATCTATACGTATAGATATTGTAGAAACTTAGTTAGATTATGATTAAAATCTCTGATTAGAGTTAAATGGTGAAGCAAGTAGTGCTCTGCATTTGTATATCTATCAACGTATTATTCATTTTCCTAAGATGTGTTTGTACATATATTAACATGTATGTAGTGAATTAAATTTCCAATTAATTGGCTTCTAGAACTTCCCATTACAGCATACCATTTAAATCAATCGGAAAGTAAACTGTATATTCTAACAATCAATACTTCCAAATGCATATACCCCCACACTCTTAATCACAGTTAGCATACATTCAGATATACCACAATCAAACATAAATTTTAGCACACGATTAAAAATATTTTGAAAATACTGAAATATAAGGTATTTCCACTGAAAAAAGTTGATTATCATAAAATATAGTTGAAAGCAAATAAAAATCCAAACACGTAAGATTTATAAAACAAAAGTTAAATGTTAACAAATTAAAAATATATGATCTAACAGAAAAACAAATTATATTTATTATTTTCCATATAAAGTAAATTTCAGATGTTTTATAAGTTTATAATATATTATAATATAAAATAATTCTTATGTAAATACACCCGCCCGTAGGGCGGGCAAACCCCTAGTTGTCAATATAACGACTATTTATATTGCCTAATAATCAGCGACCACTTTTTCTAACTGCATCCATATATTTTATATAATCAAAACAAAAACTAAAAGTAAATAAAGATGCGAATATTGCGGTATAGCAAATAAAATAATTTCTGGGTATAACATCAAAAATAACGTAATCATCTTCCATTTGTTACCTAATCATGGGTCTTGATTTTTTTTCGAGAAAAAAAAGTCAAAACACCTTAAACTTTGCTTTTATTTTCTAGGTTTCGTATAACAATTGGGGCATGAGTTACGAGTGGTCTTTTCATTTATACTACGTCAAAATTTACAAAACTCATTTTATTTGCATGAAAAATTATCATGTGTAATATTATGTGATTACTAATTTGATTAATAAAAAAACTGAAACTATACTATTATTTTTTCTAAATTAATAACTGGTTAAGAATAAAGTACAAATTAATATGTTTAATGGCTATAGCACAAGTAGGATTGGATGTTATGGTACTCATTCGAATTCAGTTCGGATCTTTTTGGGTTTTGGGGTTTAACAAGTACAATCCCGTTCGGATATTTAGAAGTTTTGGTTCAAATTTGGTTCGGATCCTTGCGGATTATGTTAAGGTTCGGATAACCCGTCTAGATTATTTTAAAATTTTAAAATTCATATATATGATAAATTTCTCAAAATCTAAAAAAATAACTAATAATTACATATAAATTTGAGTAATATATGCCATAATACCTAAACTTAACATAGAAATTGATTTAGTTTGAATAGTTGGATGGAGAATCAATAAATATTTTAATTATTTCATGTTTTGGATATTGTTTAGCTACTTTAGATATTTACTTTTGACTATTTATATATTTTCTAACTTTTTTAGACAACTTCAAAAGAACTTAAACCTTTTTAATATTTTTTTTTGGATATTAAATCTAAACGTAGCTAATATACTAAGTATATAAATCTGATTCGGATATATTCGAATACTCGAAATATTTTGTTTCGAATCAAATTTGATTTTAGTTCTTTATATACTTCGAATATTAAACCGGTCGAATATTAAACAAGTTTTAGTTTAGATTTGGTACTACTTTTTCGTTTTAGGTTTGGAGGGTTTGAATTTTTGCACACTCCTAGGCACAAGTGTATAATGATTCAACATCACAAATTCAATACAATATCAAAACTTCTTACAAATTTCAATAATATATTTTACACAAATATGATTACAAAGAAAACACAAATATAAAAATTAATTTTTTAAAAAAATTGTCAAAATCAATTTATTAAAAATATACCTTCATCAATATTATTAATACATGACCACTCCTATTTTTTGCCTCTACTTTTACCTGGTATATTACTTAAAATGTCACTAGACCTACATTTAAAAAAAAAACTGATTATTTCATAATTGTATCTAATTATCTACTAACTCTAACCACGTTAAATTTTGTATAACATAAGAGCAGATACTTCTCTTCCTACAGATGCTACTAATACAGCCTAACCTATTTTTTAAAAGTATTTACATAACAAACAAAGGTAACTGTTTTTAAAAAAACACAGATATAACTAAAAAACACAAATATAATTACAAGAAATAGATAAATATAAAAAATATTTTTTTTTTAAATGTAAAACAAAGTATATACCCGCCCTCTAGAGGGCGGGTCCGAATCTAGTTATCTTATTAATTTGAAGCATCCATTGTTGCAGCAGTAGAACTCGACAATATGCTAAGTTTTTTATTCTTTTTTATTCCAATAAACCTTAATCAAGACCAAGAATTAAAACGCCAAAAATATAATTTGAAGCCCAAACACAGATTCGTTGGAACATTGTCGATTTATCTTTTTGTTAGTTGATGACATGGTAACATAAAAAGAGAGAAATCTCTTCTTTATTTATAAAGATAAAGATATTAACAAAAAAAGGGATTTATATCAATTAAAGAACTTGGAACTAAAATGTTAAGATTAAAAAACTATAACTATGTGACCTTGAAAGCAGGATTAACGCACAACCCCACATGGAAAGTGATTATTTGTTATTTTGGATGCAGAAGAGTTGGTGCTAATGTGTTTTGTGGGGTCCATGCAATAAGCACATCCTTAAGCACCCTGGTTAACATGCTCTAAGATCATTCTCTAAGAAAACCGAAAAATAAACATGTGACGACATGGTCACAGATCAACGACTCGAGAGAGCTTCTGGTTCCTGTTTAGCAAGAAATCCCCTTGCTTGATTGTTGCCTGGTAAAGTGCATTCTTTGCATCTGGACGGTTTGTCTCCAAAACACCTGCAACTTTGTCTATCTTGCAGTGAAGCTTCCCAGCAGCAATGGAGCGTGACAGCCCCTGGATAAAATATCATTTGATGTCAGTTTTAACACATTATTTGATCATGTTATATCATCACCTGGTAAACTAGAAGTTACTGAGTAATGTAATTAAGCGTTTGTTAGTGTGCTTACTGCATCAATGAAGACCATTGAAACACCAAAGGCATCTGCCATGGTATCAACCGTCATTTTGTAAGATTCCAAAAACTGAGAGTACACTACTGTTCTCACTTCCCTCATGTAAAACCGGAAATGTGGGTTCAAGTAACGGTCAACAACCTGTCAAATTAGTAGCAATATAGCATTTTACTCAAAAAAAAGCATTCACATCCTCACATAGGAACTTCATCAAAAAACAAGGATCACATCACTTAGTACTAAGTCTACACACTGACTGTTTATCTATAACTAAATTTAGAAAACTCAAAGCAGAGGACTGAGACATCGACAGGTCAAACTTTATCTGCTGCCATTGCAGCTGAGAAAAATACACCAATAATGGAGCTATTAAAATAACACAGAGAGAAAAAGCAAGCAAAATGCATACACTGAATAAGACAGTTCAGCTAGGAAAATTCCTTGTACTGGCACTAATACAGGGAATTCAAGAACTCACAAGAAAGGAATGGAGTCTTCCCAAGCACGGTTAAGATCTCAGGTGCATCAACAACCTGCAATATAGCATTATACTTCACATCCTCACATAGGAACTTCAACCAAAAAAAACAAGTTCACATCACTTTAATACGTCTAAAGACAGAATGTCATCTCTGGTTAAATTTAGAAAAACTCAAAGCAGAGGACTGAGACGTGGACAGGTACCTAGATAGAGGATACCATTAGGTATTACTTCTCATCGAGCTTCTTAAGCTCTTCCTCGTTACTAGCCCGCATAGAATCCAACAACAAGCTCTGATCTAGTTTCAGCACAGAAGACGCCGCTAGGGTTTCGTACAAAGGAGACATACCTTATAGAAAAAAAACAGCACCAACGCAACATCAAAAAAAGCAGCACCAACGCTCTCATCACTCTCCTTGTTCGAGTAACTATGGCTGCTCCTGATGCAACATAAATTACTATTGAGAAGCAAAGGAGGATCCAGAAAATAATTTAATGTGGGGCATAATATATATAAATTTATATTGTATTAAATATAAATTAATAAATAAAACTAAACTCTATTTAAAAATACAAAAATACATTAGTCATAAATTTTTCTCAAATTGAATAAAATATAAAAGAGATAATTACATAATTTTAAATATTCATTTTCAGTATTATCCTAAAATTATATATGCACATAGTAATTTTACTATAAATATTTATTTCTTTTAGTTTTTGTTTTTGTCTGGCTATTGAAAAGTACTTAGTAAAAATAATTGTCAAATTTTAATATTAATAAATTATGAGCTTTTATTTTGGAAAAATAATATTAAAAAGTAATTAAAATACTATATAAGTAATTAAGTACCATTTCTAATAAATAAAATTCAATAAAAAAGCTTTAACATCTGGGTTTATAGGATATTGTTTATAATTTAATATTTAAGGGATATATTTAGATTTATACATTTTTATAAATAATTTAAGAGAGTTAGTTCAGTGATTTTTCATCACAAATTAAAATTATTTATAAAAATAGTTATCTTTTAAATATAAATTTGAAAAGTGACATCAAATTTTTGGTACAATTAGAGTTTTTCTATTAAACACAGAAAATAAAACAGTTATTAAAAATAGTTTTGGTCAGAAAATCAAAAGAAAATATTTGATGGAACAGTGATTAAAATTTTGTAGAAAAATTGAAAGCACATAAAAGCAAAGTAAAAAAATTGAAAGCACATAGGTTCGAACTTGATTTGCGCGGGCACACTCAAGCATGCATGACCAAATTAGCCACATATTTCGCTTTGTATTGTAGGGTGCATAGAAGCTTTTTCTCATTTAGTATGTGGCACGTGCCACAGGTACTCTCAACGTGGGTCATAATCACGAGAGGGTCGTCAAAGATCTCAATGAGAGAGGTTTCCATTTGATCGCTCGCAAGATGTTTGATGAAGCACTGATTTGTCTCAAGAAATCTCATAATCTAAGGTAATTTTGCAACAATTAGGGTTTAGATGTGAATGCAAGTGTTAAGGTAGATATAAGTGATGATGATGATGTTGGTTTAGTGAATGACACTTGGGAGATGGTGCTCTTCTCTGTGTAAGCATGAAGCTACTGTCTTGCTTGATCGAAAAGTTGTACGCTGAGACCGAGAAAGATATCATCAAGATTATGATTGAGGAGGGTCTGAAGCTACTCAACCAGACTAAGAACTTGGGAAGTAGTGTGGTTAACTATGATTCACTTGCTAAACTGTACTGTGATCTTGGAGACTGCGCTTTTCAAAAAGGTAGTTTCTTATATATCTACAGAAGAAAGTGTACAAAATTTCTACATGAATGATGCGTCATCTATAGTGCATAGTCTTAATACCATCTCGAATGGTGCTTCATTTCTTACTTTTTACTTTATTTTGAAGCAAATTTTTCTCCAAATGATGCTACATTTCTTGTTTCAAGATGAAGCAATTCACAATGTTGTTTCAAATTTAAAGTTATAAAGTTCATTGTTTCCTTCTTTGAATCTGGACTTTCTTAATTATAAATTAGTCCTAAACTTTTACTTGTTCTTACTTTTTGATAAAGTAAATTATATACATTAATACTATCCAATTAATATCAGAATTTTGACTATTATTTTCAAATAATCTGATATTTATATTGAATATCATATGAATATTCATTTTTAACAACTTTTAACTCAATTAAAAAGAATATAAATAAGCTCATCTCTTACTTCTAAAATTTTTGTTAATCACTTACACAAATATATATGTGGTCCTTTTTTACAAATGATGATGCTTTGTGTTTGTTTATTCATGTTATATAATAAATATATTACATGATAATGTTTAATTTTATATTAAGTAATAATTCTGTTGGATATTGTTAAAAAAAATAGTAGAGTAAATTTTGGAAATATGCAAAAAAATATAAAGTATTATTAATAATTAATAATAATGTAGAGATATAATATACTTAGAATATTATTTTTACAAGAAAGAAATGAAGTAACCAATAGAGAAGATATTGCTTCATTTCTTACTTCATTTAGAAATGAACTTTCGAAACTAAAAATGAAGCCAGACTTTGGAGATGCGCTAAATAATTTGAAGGTCAAGTTTAACATATAAAAAAATTCCCAGAGTTTCGTAAACTATATTGATTAACTAACAAGACAGTTTGACTGAATACTCAAAACTATGTAATAGTTTGACACAATTAGCTTGGTAATCTTGTTATATACTTTATCTAATGAATGAAAATGTTAACAAAAAAAGCTTGATTTAAGTTATCTCACCTACTTGTAATTATATTAAAGTCTGAATTAATGAATAGTTGTTTTAGTATATTAAAACGTAAAGTTATAAAAATTAACCCAAAATTAATACAGAGAAGAGAAATATATAATTATGAATTTTAAATATAACTTATTAGTATGGTAAACCATTTATATAAAAGGAATGAACCCAAATATCTAATATTTAACTTTAGTTATTGTGTAGTTAAAATTACTTACATGAATTTTGCTCAAAAGTATAATATAAAATATTTTTGCAGATAGAATAACGTGGATTTCAAATTATATAGGAGTCAATAACAAATTTGTAATGGGGTCAATGTTATAAACTTTGTCAAAACACTATGGATAATTCAAATTATGTGGGGTCAACTGACCCCATTACCGTCCTCGTACCTCCGGCTGACCTCACTTCTCTTCGTTATACAAGAACTTTGCTATGACTCTGTGTTATGAGCTAATCAAAGAATCACGTTGAAGCTCTAAAGCATTGCGAATCATCTGTTATCAAGTCTGGTGTTTTCCTCATGATGAAAGAGACTGCCAAGGACATGAAGATTAAAGACTTGCATCTACGTGGACTTGAGAAGATTGAGGTTCTGAAGTATGCTGATGAGATACCAAAGGAACGTGTGGTGGTGGTACGCCCACAAGCATCTGAAGCCTTTCTGTTTAAGAAGGCGGCGCTTTAAGCAGTATTCGATCGGTGAATCAAGTTGCAGAGAAGTGACTCAGGCAATGCATATAAGATGGACTTTTGTTTGATTCTACACAACCTTCTGTAACAGATTTTGTTTGATTTTCATAGAATTTTGTATAGACTTCCCGACTATTCATACGTAGGAATTACACTTTGACCCTTGAATCAAAGTATGACTTTAATGCTTGAGGTTAACTCATCTTAATAACACATGGTTTAAGTAGGAGATGCTATGTTTACACATGTTTTAAACTTAGACTTGGGGGTTTTTCTTCATGGTTTTGTGATCTCCTGATTTGGTTGAAGTTCCTCTGTGAGGATGTGAAGTATAATGCTATATTGCTACTATTTATAACGACTCTAGTTACTATTTGACAGGTTGCTGATGCACCTGACACACCAAACTGGTAGTGGATGACCACTTGCTATAAGTCCCATGTATAACTAGAGGCAGATGATATTATAACAATCCATAAATGTGAGAACATAAACAACACAAGACAGATTAAAAAAAACAAAAAAAAACAAAATACTTTAGGGAAGCTCTAAACCAATTCTGACAAGGGGACAAAAAAAAGCAGAACACAGTTTTACCTGTTTTAGTTTTGGCTAGAGAAGACTGAACAACAACATGCATAACAGTGACACCACCAGCAACCTCTCCAAAAGGTGTCTTACACTGACCAACAGTCTTGCTATTCTCCAAGATCTTACTCGAACTAATCAACTTCACTTCGTTTATCCCTTTCGGAACAACTATTTTGCCTAATAAACCAAAAACACACCAAAAGGAGCACATTTCTTTTATAACTGTTTTGTTCTCAAATCATATCACAACTTTGAATTAAAAAAATCGAAACTTTGAGAAGCCAAAAAGCCCATAACCCGCTGTAGTTAGACATATCTAAGGCTATTTCGAACCACATCAATTTTCTAGCGGTGGAAGTTCACATCTTTCAGTTGTTTCTTGTGACCCACGTCAACTAAAGTCTTTAGGATTGTTCTTCAGCTCTCTGTTGGTATTGATAACGGTGATGCATAGGATCTAAAAAGAGTGTAGAGACCGTCTCCAAAACGGAAAATACAGCCTTATTTGATACAGAAATATAAGATAAATCATTTTCATACCATACCATGCCTATTAATAGCTGGAGAATGTCAAAATCCGAAGGATGATCCCTTGTTCCCCTGCCAATTGTGAATGGGAACAAATATTAAACTGAGACACAGATGGAAATATAAACCAAATGTTATTTTACTTATAAAAGGGGACAAGATCATTGACCTAATTTAAACGAAGTGTAGAGCTATCAAAGTGTATATTCCCACATACTCTTTGTCGCTTGGATATTACGTTTGAATTTTCCTTCTTTTTCTCGTTTCTTTAAAAATCACTCTTTCTTCCTCAGTTTTTCTACTTCCATCAATGATTGTCCTCAAAGTTATTTCTGCTATTGGACTAACATAACCAAATATTAAAACATATGATGAACGGAGTTGCACCATTAGGTAATTCCGCCAGAATATAGGTAACTACATTCTTGTTAAATGTGCCTTCACTTCTGATCAAAATGAAGCATTAGATAAAACATGAAACCTTTATCCGCGAAGATCTTGATCATAAGCTTTTTTGGTCAAATGATTTGATCAAAAGCTAATTCAAGAGGAATGTTTGGCTCAGGCATTCATTATTATGCTAATTTAGTTAGTGAAAAAGAATAAACAAAGATTCAAACTTTGAGTATCAAACTTGTTGTAAGATTCCAAAAACCGTTACGCTCTTGTAAGATTCCAAAAAACTGAGAGTACACCACCGTTCTCACTTCCCTCATGTAGAACCGAAAGTGTGGGTACAAGTAACGGTCAAACTTTATCTGTTCTGCCATTCCAGCTGAGAAAAGTACAACAATGGAACTATTAATATCACAAAAAGATAAAAGTAAGCAAAATGCATAAAGAAATAAGACAGTTCAGTACGCTAATCTAGTCACTGTATTGTACTAACCAAATGCTGAGAAAAATGCCTTGTACTGGCACTCGTAGAGGGAGTTCAAGAACTCAGAAAGGAATGGTATCTTCCCAAGCACTGTTAAGATCTCAGGCGCATCAACAACCTGTCAAATTAGTAGCCATTTAGCTTTTTACTTCACATACTCACAGAGGAACTTCAACAAAAAAAAAAGGTTCACATTACTTTAGTACTAAGTCTGAAGACTGAATGTTATCTCTAACTAAATTTAGAAAAATCAAAGCAGAGGACTGAGACATCGATTAATACCTTTTGCTAAAGTGAAACTCTATCCAGAGTTATGATGCTCGTCAGCACGGTGTAAAAAATAAAGGTCTCGAGGGAAAGATCTCATAAGTCGTGAAGCGGTGAAGGTTGATATAGAATCCAGAAACAAGCTGGCAGCCTTCTTAAAATTTCTGGTGGACATGCAATACAAGCCTTCATAGACCTTTAGCCTGTTCTTCCTCTCCCAGTCACCACCCTCTTCAAACAACCTGGCATGGGTAAACAGAAAGGTTTAGATCAACGGTTTCAGTCGCACTCTATACATTAATGGTAGTCACAAAAGATGTAGCCAAAGAGCATAATCAAAACTTACTTTTTCGCTCTGTCAATACTCTTCGATACCAAATCAAAGTCCATGTACAAAAACGCAAGCTGCAATGTGTAGAACACGAGGTCCATCTTTTGCCCAACAGCAACAGTTTTTCCTTCTGTGAGTTTTAGCTGCTCCAAAGCTTTTTCCTAGATTCCCAAAGCAAAAAAAAAAAAAGAAGAAATTAATGGCCAAGGAGGTTTTCTGAAGTGTGTAATGGCTAACTTTGACAAATGCTCAAGTACCTTATCACTAATCCTGATGAAATACAGAGCTTTAGCAAGATGAGCTTCACGGACCTCACGTTCGCCTAAATTTTCTTCTGCATCTGCAATCCTAAACAAAAGAGAAGGGAAGGCATAACTCATAAGTGAACATTAACACCACCTATACGTAAGATAGGGATTGATTTTTTACACCATAACAAGGGCCGAAAAAAGGTTTCATTTACAAAAATTTATTTTAAATATTGTTAGCCTTAGATAGAGCAAAACACAAGGTAATGGTTACAACACAAGGTGATGGTTATCTCCAATTGAAAAACTAAGACATGATGCTATGATGGAAAATCTCAATCCATTCATAAACTCAGTCCCTTAAAATCATTACACCAACTATAACACAGTAACACTCAATTCAAGACCTAACTCCACCGAATATGCCTCGTATTCTAAATCTCAGTCTATATTAGCTAGAAACTATCAGTATATTGTGAAAGATGTTAACGTGATCTACAAGTCTGAGTTTTGAAATTGCCAACGAGGATAACTCAAGCCTAACCAAGGGTGGTCTAAGCCAAACCAAGGTCAGGTGAAAAGCTGCTTTATGGATAATATCTCACCAACGGCTCCTCAAGCATATTCAAGGAAGATGCCTTTGTTGAGGTACAGTCAAAAAGAAGTGTTGGCTGTTTGTCCAGGTGGCTGGAATACTACATTGGCTGGATACAGGAGCGTATCTATCAACTTAACGGCGGTGACAGAGGCACTTGAGTAAGCCCTAAAGTGTACATTACTATATAAACGTATGTTAGGCTAAGAGAGAGAGTTTAGACAGTGAGAATCATAAGCGTATGATTGTATACAGAGCTAGAGAGAGAATAGCATTGAGAGTATAAACTTTGTAGTGTGCTAGTTCTCTAAGGAAGAAACTGATAGCGTGTGCGCTGAGTGCTAGTGAAGGGCATTGGCGTGGACACGTATCATTTCTTCTCCTTGTAAAGCTCTGTAACTGATTATAGTGGATTCCGATGTCGGGAATATTGTCTCAATACTCACTAGATGGGCTAAGACTTATAAGGCCCAGGAAATTGTGACGGGCCTGAAGAGTGTCTTAAGAGCAAAGGCCCAGTCGTCTAGGTCAAGTTGGAACCTGCATATAAAAAGGAAACAACAAGGTGCCTTAGAGGTGACGGCAACAAAAGATCAGATTGCAAGGTTCAGGAGAAGCAGATTGTCTTGGTGAAAAGATCGTCTGAGTTTACCTGGAGGTTAAGCAATCAAGGAAGAAGAACTAGGTTGTAGTTCTTAGCTCTAAGCTTTGGTGTAGAAGTACTTTGAGCTCTCATCTCTTGTATTACTCTCTTTGTACTTGAGATAGTGGATTGGAAGCTGAGCCTTCCCCCAGACGTACCTTTTGGGAACTGGGTTAACAAACTTGTGTCTTGTCTCGGGAAAAGGGCATATTCCTACCCAAACAATTTCAATCGTGTCAAATACAACCCGAACAAACATCCAGTGCCAAATACGACATGAACTATGTTATAATTCAAAAATACTACCTGGACTTTTTAAAACGTGCCTAAACCTACATTGACCGTAACAGAAGTTAGTCAACCGTTAAAATGATAAAACGACGTCGGGAAAAGGGCCTATTCCTACCCAAACAATTTCAATCGTGTCAAATACAACCCGAACAAACATCCAGTGCCAAATACGACCTGAACTACGTTATAATTCAAAAATACTATCTAAACTTTTTAGAACGTGCCTAAATCTACATTGACCGTAACAGAAGTTAGTCAACCGTTAAAATGATAAAACGACGTCGTTTCGATTTCATTATTTAAAAAAAAATATGAACATTCCGGGATTCAAACCCGGGCCTTGCCACTATTTAAAATAGACATATCAACCACTAGACTAAAGCAATTTTTTTTTAAATAATACTACAAATTTGCAATTATATATGCTTTTATATTTTTTCATCTTCTCTAATTAAAACTTTGGTTATTATTATTTTTGATTCTTATTAATATATTAACATATTTAATAAAATTATAAATACTAAAATATAAATAATAAAATATTTATAATTATACAAAATTAAATAGATTTCATGTTTTGAAACTATTTACAAAATGTCCATACATAAATTATTTAAAAACTTGAATGTTAATTTCTTTTGTTTCTTAAAATTAATATAAGCTGAATATACTTTACCAAAATAAAATAAATTACCATTAAGTTCTATTTTTAAAATAATTTATATATGGACATTTTGTAAATAGTTGAAAAACATGAAATATATTTAATTTTTTATAATTATAAATATTTTATTATTTATATTTTAGTATAATATAAGTTTATTGAAGATATAATAATTACAAAATATGTTAATATATTTATAAGAATCAAAAATAATAATAACAAAAGTTTTAATTAGAGAAGATTAAAAAGTATAGTAGCATATATAATTGCAAATTTGTAGTATTTTTTAAAAAAATTTCTTTAGTCTAGTGGTTCATGTGTATGTTTTAAATAGTGACAAAGCCTGGGTTCGAGTCCCGGAATGTTCATTTTTTTAATAATAGAATCAAAATGACGTCATTTTATCATTTTAACGGTTGACTAACTTCTATTACGGTCAATGTAGGTTTAGGCACATTTTAAAAAGTTCAGGTAGTATTTTTGCATTATAACGTAGTTCATGTCGTATTTGGCACTGGATGTTTGTTTGGGTTGTATTTGGGACGATTGAAATTGTTTGGGTAGGAATATGCCCTTTTCCCGACGTCGTTTTATCATTTTAACGGTTGACTAACTTCTGTTACGGTCAACGTAGGTTTAGGCATGTTTTAAAAAGTTCAGGTAGTATTTTTGCATTATAACGTAGTTCAGGTCGTATTTGGCACTGAAAATTTGTCGGGGTTGTATTTGACACGATTGAAATTGTTTGGGTAGGAATAGGCCTTTTTCCCGTCTTGTCTCCTACAAAACAAACAAACAATCATACACACTAGTTTTAGTTTAACTTGAACTATAAGCTTGGTTGAGTTCCGCAAACTACTAAGTTAAGGTATTGAGTTCATCAGTTTGATAACTAAAAAGCCTAACAAGTGGTATCAGAGCATCAGGTGCTAGCTAAAGGAAACGGTTGAGGTTCTAGAAGCTACTGGTGTAGTGTTTCGTTGAATCTTGAGTTATTGATACTCTCACGGTCTAGTGGGAAAACAATGAAGAGCTCAAAGATTAAGATCGAGGTTGAGAAGTTTGATGGAAAAGGGGATTTTGGCATGTGGAAATTCAAGATGCTTATGCAACTTGAGAATTCTGATCTTGACAGTGTATTGAATGAGGAGGAAACAAGCTCCTTGGCTGAAAAAGAAGTAGATGAAGAAGAAGATATTAAATCAGGCACCAAGAAAGAAACTCTAACTCGGAAGGAAAAGGATAAACGCGCTAAGAACATGATTTGTGCCAGTCTGAGTAATTTGGTACTACGTAAAGTAATGAAACAGACCACAGCTCTAGGGGTTTGGAAGGCACTTGAGAAGGACTACCAAACAAAGACACTACCAAACAGAATCTATCTAAAGCAAAGGTTTGCTAGTTTCAAGATGGAGGAGCATCGAAGTGTGGAAGAGAACCTTGATGTATTCTTGAGGTTGGTAGATGACTTAGAAAGCTTGAATATTACGGTAAGTGATGAGGACCAAGCAATACAGGTTCTATCGAGTTTACCTAAACAGTTTGACTCTCTAGTTCATACTCTGAAGTATGGGAATGGCAAGGAGACATTAACTTTGCAGGAAGTCACCACATCTGCGTATGCAAAAGAGGTTGAACTGAAAGAAGCTGGATTGATAGGAAAATCAAAATCAAGTGCTGAAGGACTGATTGTAGGAAGAGGTAGATCTGAAACAAAGAGTCAAGGTCCTTGGAAAGGGAGGTCAAAGAGTAAAACAAATAGGTCGAAATCTCGACCAAGAGGACCAGGAAAACCGAGAGAATGCTGGACATGTGGTAAAGAAGGACATTACAAGAAAGATTGTCCAGATAAGAAGAACTGGAAATCGAATGAAGCTGCAAATGTAGCTCATGACAAAGAACAGCCAATGATCCTAACAGCGAGTACACATGATCCTATGAGAGAATGGGTTATGGACTCTGGATGCACTTTTCACATAACACCCGAGAGGGATGTTTTGTTTGACTTCAAAGAATTCGATGGAGGTAAAGTCCTCATGGGTAATAACACCCAAAGTGAAGTAAAAGGCATTGGGAAGATTAAGATCATAAACGCTGAAGGAGCTCAGATCATCTTAAGTGACGTAAGGTACATGCCTTCTATGGGTAGGAATCTTATTTCCTATGGTCAGTTAGAGAAAAATGGGTGCAAGTATGAAGGAGAGAATTTCAAAATCACATTCTACAAGGAAGGGAAGAAGGTATTGACTGGAAAGTATCACGATGGATTGTATTATCTTCAAGGATCTGTTGTTAAAGGAGAAGTGACTGTGGTCAAAACAGAAACTAATCTTACGAACAGATGGCATTCTAGATTGGGTCACATGAGTTTGAAGAACATGAACCTCTTGGTTAAAGGAGGCTACTTAGATTCTAAAGAAGTGCACACTTTAGATTTCTGTGAAAAATGTGTCTTTGGTAAAGCTCACAAGCAGAGTTTTCCTGAAGGGAAACACTCGTCTAAGGAGAAGTTGGAATATATTCATAGTGATCTTTGGGGTTCAGTGTCTAATGAGCCCAGTCTTTCTGGCTGCAGATACTTCCTTACGTTTATTGATGATTACTCTAGAAAAGTCTGGATTAGATTTCTAAGGAGTAAAGATGAGGTATTTGAAAATTTCTCTGAGTGGAAGTCTCTAGTTGAAAATACTACAAAGAAAAAGCTGAAGTATCTTCGTACAGATAATGGCCTTGAATTCTGTAATGTGAAGATGGATCGACTCTGTAGTGAATCTGGAATTAAAAGGCACAAAACGTGTGTCTATACTCCCCAACAGAATGGGATAGCAGAAAGGATGAACCGGACAATAGCTGACAAGATAAGATGCATGTTAGCAGAATCTGGTTTGAGCAAATCATTTTGGGCTGAAGCTGCATGTACTGCAGTGTATTTAATAAATCGAACTCCTAATGCTTCACTAAAGTTCAAGATACCCGAAGAGTTATGGACAGGTTCTAAGGTTAATTACAGTCACTTGAGAAGGTTTGGATGTGTTGCTTACGTGCACACAATACAGGACAAAATGAGTCCTAGAGCTATAAAAGGAATTTTCTTAGGCTATCCACAAGGAGTCAAAGGCTACAGAGTATGGTTACCAGAAGATGGGAAGTGCTCAAATAGCAGAAATGTTGTGTTCGATGAAGAAAACATTTATCATGACTCAGAGAAGACGGTGGTAAAATCAAAGAAACCTAAGAAGGTGACATTTAGCACCGAATTAATAAAAGGACCATCAACTCAAGATTACACTAGTCAAGGTGTAGACGTATCTGATAATAGTGACTCTACTGGTCAAGGTGGAGAAGAGCCAGAACAAGAAAACTCAGAGGAACTAAGCGAATCTGAAGAAGAAGATGTATCTGAAGAAGACAGGTTGGTACAAACCGGGAATCTAGACTTAGATGGTTACATACTAGCAAGAGATAGAGAACGAAGAGTGATCAAGCCTCCATCAAGATATGAAGATGGGGATTCTGTTATAGCTTATGCCTTGGCTTGTGCTAATATCGTTGAAATGGATGAGCCAAGGACAGTTACAGAGGCTAAAAGAAGCAAGAATTGGAAACAATGGAAGGAAGCTATGTCAGAAGAAAAGATATCTCTTGATAAAAATGATACATTTGATCTCGTTCCAAGACCACAAAAACAAAGAGTGATAGGATGTAAGTGGATTTATAAGTTTAAAGAAGGAATCCCAGGAATTGAAAATCCAAGGTTCAAGGCTCGGCTAGTAGGAAAAGGATACTCACAAGTCGAAGGAATAGACTATAATGAAATATTTGCTCCTGTGGTAAAGCATGTGTCAATAAGAATCATGTTGTCTATTGTGGTAAATCATGACTTGGAGTTGGAACAGCTAGATGTTAAAACAGCGTTTTTACATGGAGTTCTTGATGATGTGATTTATATGGAACAGCCTGAAGAATTTGTGGAAAAGGGAAAAGAAGAATTGGTGTGCCTTCTAAAGAAATCCCTATACGGACTTAAACAGTCCCCGAGGCAGTGGAACCAAAAGTTTAATGAGTTCATGAAATCTCAGGGGTTTACACGGTGTACAAAGGACCCGTGTGTCTACACTAAAGGCAAGACGGTGAATGACATGGTCTATCTATTACTCTATGTTGATGATATGTTGGTAGCAGCAAAAGACATTGTGAAAATAAATGATCTTAAGAAGAACTTGAACAAGATGTTTGAGATGAAAGATCTTGGACCAGCATCAAGAATCCTTGGAATGGATATAAAAAGAGATAGAAAGAATGGAGTGCTAAAACTTTCACAGGAGAAATACATTAATCAAGTTCTGAGAACATTCAACATGGAAGATAGCAAAGCAGTGGTCACGCCAAGTAACTCTCTGTTTAAATTAAGAAGTCTAAGGCCTGAGGAAATAGAAGAAGAAAGGTTGGCTATGGATACGGTTCCTTACGCAAGTGCAGTAGGAAGCTTGATGTATGCAATGGTTGGTTCCAGACCAGATTTAGGATACGCCATTGGAGTGGTGAGCAGATTCATGGCAAATCCAGGAAGAAGTCACTGGGAAGCAGTTAAGTGGATCCTAAAGTATTTAAATGGGGCAGCTAACGTATGTTTAACGTTTACTAAAACAGAGAAGTTTGAGATAGAGGGATTTTCTGATTCAGACTACTCTGCAGACTTAGATAAAAGAAGATCTGTGTCAGCCTATGTGTTTAAGGTTGGAGGTAATACGGTAAGCTGGAGGTCATGTTTACAACAGGTAGTTGCTCTATCTACCACGGAAGCGGAATATATGGCTCTATCTGAAGCAACTAAAGAAGGTATCTGGTTAAAGGCTATGTGTGAAGAACTGGGATTCAAGACGGATTCATTCAAGCTAAATTGTGACTCACAAAGCGCAATTTGCCTAGCAAAGAATAGTGTACACCATGACAGAACAAAACATATAGCAAGGAAGTATCATTTTATACGAGACATCATAGAAGAAGGTTCAGTCAAAGTTCAAAAGGTACACACATCAGATAATGCAGCAGATATGCTAACAAAGAGTTTACCTGGTAAAAGTTTCGAGAAGTGCCTTGGCCTTCTCAAAATAATTCCGTAGTCTGTCTGAGACATCCCTAGGTTCTTGATTGTTGAGTTGTTACAAGGACCTAGTAACAGGGATGACAAACAAATACTGAAAGAAGTCAGTATTGGTAACAGGAAAAACAACTCAGGTTAGTTTCGAACGGTAAAGTTTGGAAGGGAGTTAATCTACGGTATTCAGCAGATTAAATGGTTTTCTATGGATTGATCTACGGCATTCAGCAGGTTACATGGATTTCTATGGATTAATCTACGGTTTACAGCAGGTTATTGGATTTCTAAATATTAACAACTTCAGAGAATGACTGGTTTTTTCTTATACATTTACAAGCAATCATTGGATTTAGCAGAGTTAATTCTTATGGGATGACACTAGAGTTAACTCATAAATTGCTACAAGAAGATTGTATTGATGATACCATTTTTCAGCTGGGATTTCTTTAGAGATTGGTCTTGAAGTTTCTTGTGTCGAACTGCAGAAGACATAGAGAGGTTCAAAATCTTTATAAGATTATTAAGGTGATGAAAGGGAATCAAAGAAGATGAGCTGTTTACCTGATAGTAACACGCGGTTGAAGGTGGAGACTTGAAACGGTGAGATTAGTCGACGAATCTCGGTGTTTTGGACTCAAGGAGCTTTCTTTCTTCTGGTAAGAATGAAGATCAGTTAAGTCATATGTTGAGGTTGGGTACAGAAGACGAATGTGCAGTAGTGAAGCAGAAGAAGAAGAACATAAATTTCAATTGGTTAAGATTAATTAGGATGAGAAAAGAGCAGAAGTGTACCTGAGGTGAATTGGTGAAGATTCATTGGTAAACGGTACCGAGGTAGAGGTTGAGAGACGGAGAAAGAGTCGGTGAAGGTGGAGCTTTCGCGAAGACCCGTATAGAGACAAAGGTGGAGTTTGTCGGGAATATTGTCTCAATACTCACTAGATGGGCTAAGACTTATAAGGCCCAGGAAATTGTGACGGGCCTGAAGAGTGTCTTAAGAGCAAAGGCCCAGTCGTCTAGGTCAAGTTGGAACCTGCATATAAAAAGGAAACAACAAGGTGCCTTAGAGGTGACGGCAACAAAAGATCAGATTGCAAGGTTCAGGAGAAGCAGATTGTCTTGGTGAAAAGATCGTCTGAGTTTACCTGGAGGTTAAGCAATCAAGGAAGAAGAACTAGGTTGTAGTTCTTAGCTCTAAGCTTTGGTGTAGAAGTACTTTGAGCTCTCATCTCTTGTATTACTCTCTTTGTACTTGAGATAGTGGATTGGAAGCTGAGCCTTCCCCCAGACGTACCTTTTGGGAACTGGGTTAACAAACTTGTGTCTTGTCTCCTACAAAACAAACAAACAATCATACACACTAGTTTTAGTTTAACTTGAACTATAAGCTTGGTTGAGTTCCGCAAACTACTAAGTTAAGGTATTGAGTTCATCAGTTTGATAACTAAAAAGCCTAACATCCGAGTTACCGACTCGGCCAGACGTAGCAACCATCGTTAACGGGTGCGAACTGGAAAAACTTGACTGTGTTCTTTACTGTTTTCAGTCCTCTTGTTTCCTTGTCTTTATTTCTCTGTTTCATTTCACCACTCGAGAGGTGTGAGTGTTTCCCGGTTTCAAACTCTATCCACGGTAAGTTTGAGTTATTGCGTCTTCTCCAAGGAAAGTCGACATCTTTGAGGATAACCAGTCTCAACATATATGAATCTAAGAAGCTGAAGGGGAAGAAGGAAGCTTACTTCTCGTCGAGCTTCTTAAGCCCTTCCTCGTTACTAGCCCTCATAGAATTTAACAAGCTCTGATCCAATTCCAGTACAGAGGACGTTGTTAGGGTTTCATACAAAGGAGCCATACCTTGAAAAAAAAACACAAACCCAACATCAGGAACATAAATCCCAAGACAAATCTCATTGAAAGCTTCAAACTTGTGTTCAGTGATTAGAGAAAGGAAGATGCTTTACCATCGGGTTTGATGGAATCCAAGAGGTCAGACTTGAGCTGGACTTTCTCAATGTCTTGGACATCGGTATGAGTGAGGAGGAAGAGCTTGGGGCTAGAATCAGGTGAGGCTGCTGAGTTCCTTCTGCTTCACCGTCCATGGCTAATGCTTACACACTCAATTCAAGAAGAAAAACGTGAGATGAATCTGAGAAGTGAGAAGACGAATCCAATAATGAAATATGTTTTCTTGAGTAAGGAGGAGGAGCGAACCAGATCGGTTATTTATGACTATATTCAAAAAAAAAATAAGCAACTAATTAAACACTAATGATAATTCAAATTTCTATGAATTTGTAGGTTTAATTAAATCTACTCTATTAAAATAGAGTCATTCTTTTTATCTACTGATACAAGTTATCATTTAAATTTGGATTCTTTCTAGAATGTTACAAATAATATAAATCATATAATTGATTGAACCGTATCTAATCTATTAAAATAGAGTCATTCTTTTTATCTACTGATACAATTTGTCATTTAAATTTGGACCCTTTCTAGAGTGTTACAAATAATATAAGTCTTATAATTGATTGAACCGCATTAGTTAAATTAAACCAACACAATTAATGTAACATGGCGACCTTAAGGTAAAATATCTTCAAAATACGGCACATATCTATGTGTCTACCAAAAACACATATTTCTCCTACAAATATGGAATGCTCTAAAAGAATATATATTATCAAAATATGAAATATGGAAATCTACTTATTATATTAATGTGGAAATCGTAATATACCATTTAGCATCTTAACAATTCCTTAAAAAAATAGAAATTTAATAATTATATGAAACCAATGGAAATCTACTCTATTAAAATAGAGTCTTTCTTTTTATCTACTAATACAAATTGTCATTTAAATTTGGACTCTTTCTAGAGTGTTACAACAAGCCATGTAGTTAATTGAATCGCATTACTTGAATTAAACCGATGGTTATTTATGGGATATAGTCTTGGGCTTACTTTTGTTTTTAAGACAAATTATATGGTTTGATTTTTAGGCTTACTATTAATGAAAAACTCCAAAAAAATTGAATAAAATTTATATCTTAATGGATAAAAAAATCAAGGCCCAAATGTATTTGATATTTTTAACAAAACAAAATTGTCTATTATTAATCATTTATTTAAATCATGTACTTTAAAACATGTACTTTAAAACATGTTATTGTATTTTTTATTTTAAATAACAATCACTTTTTTGATAAATTTCAATGGTAAATTTTAAATAATTTATTCTTTTATTTTTCTTAAATAATTTATTGATTTAAAAAAAATGTAAAGCAAAACCAAAAACCAATTCTAAAAACTAAAACCCAAAACCAAAAGCTGAAAACGAATTGTTCTGGATAACATAATGTTATAATTTTTGCTTTTGTTTATTTACAAAATAAACTATTGCAAATTGTTTTTAAATTTTGTTTTGTCATCTTTAGTTTTAAATTAGATGTTCGATTATTTGAAATTTTTTTGTTGGTAATATCAGTTCAAACTAACTCTGCGGATCTAAAAATTAAAAACCCAAACAAAAGCTGAAAATCAAAAATAGAAACTTAAAAACTAAAAACCAAAATCTAAAAATAAAAATTGAAACTAAAAACTAATGAAAAAAAATCGTCACCATAAATTTTGGTAAACTGATTTTATACTAAAACATTCTTTAAATTAAGACATAACCCAATTATATCAATTTTACTTATAAAAAATTTTCGCGCTTTCAAGCGCGGGTCAAAATCTAGTTATTAAATTAAAACAACAAAATTAATGTAAAAAGACGACCTTAATGTAAACTACCTTCAAAATACGGCAGATATCTATGTGTATACCAAAAACACATATTTTCTTCTACAAATATGGAATATTCTAAAAGAATATATATCATCAAAATATGGAATATGAAAATCTACTAATCTACTTAAATTACTTAAATTAAACCAACACAGTTAATGTAAATAGACGACCTTAATGTAAACTACCTTCAAAATACGGCAGGTATCTATGTGTATACCAAGAACAAATATTTTCTCCTATAAATATGGAATGTTCTAAAAGAATATATCATCAAAATATGGAATATGGAAATCTACTAATTATACTTAAATTAAACCAGCGGTTAGTTATGGAATATAGTCTTGGGCTTACTTTTATTTTTTGAACAAAATATATAGTTTGGTTTTTTGGCTTAGTATTAAGAAAAAACTCCAAAAACATTGAATAAACTTTTCACCTTAAAAGATCAAAAAATCAATTATTATTTTCAGACCCAAAATGTATTTAATATTTTTAACAAAACAAAATTATCTATTATTAATCATTTATTTAAATCATGTACTTTAAAACATGTTAAAATAAATATCATCAAAATACGGAATATGGAAATCTACTAATTATACTTAAATTAAACCAGCGGTTAGTTATGGAATATAGTCTTGGGCTTACTTTTATTTTTTGAACAAATTATATAGTTTGGTTTTTTGGCTTAGTATTAAGAAAAAACTCCAAAAACATTGAATAAACTTTTCACCTTAAAAGATCAAAAAATCAATTATTATTTTCAGAACCAAAAGGTATTTAATATTTTTAACAAAACAAAATTATCTATTATTAATCATTTATTTAAATCATGTACTTTAAAACATGTTAATATATTTTTTATTTTAAATAACAATCACTTTGTTTTGATAAATTTCAATGGTAACTTTTAAATAATTTATTGTTTTATTTTTCTTAAATAATTTACTGATTAAAAAATGTAAAGCAAAACCAAAAACCAAATCTAAAAACTAAAATCCAAAACCAAAAGCTGAAAACACATGTTATATTTTGTTGCTTTATTTATTTACAAAATAAACTATTTCAAATTTTTTTAAAAAAATTTTGTTATCATCTTTTCAGTTTTAAACTAGATGTTCAATTATTTAAGATTTGTTTGTTGGTAATATTAGTTCAAACTAACTCAGCGGGTTTATAAATTAAAAACCCAAACCAAAAACTGAAAATGAAAAGTAGAAACTTAAAAACTAAAAACCAAAATCCAAAATCTAAAGCTAAAAACTGAAACTAAAAACAATCATCACCACAAATTTTGGTGAACTGATTTTATATCAAAATATTCTTTAAATTAAGACAAAACCTAATTATATAATTTTTTAATAATAAAAAATTTATGCGCTTTCAAGCGCGGATCAAAATCTAGTTGTTATTAATACTTGGTAAACAAACTATTCCACAGACGAACAGTAGTGAAATTGAAATATGTTTTCTTTAGTAAGGAGTCAGAATGCCAATGAGTATATTCATTCTTGAGGAAACTTGCGACTCTTATTTATGAAGTGATTGTTGTGGTGGGTTAAATTTTGAGCTCTTTCTTTTGCTTTCATAGTTTTCTTTATACCTAATGGTTCTACTTACATAATCATACTGCAATTCACAAGAGTCAGAAGAAGAAGTCCAAACACTTTCCGTGGAGGAACTATGACGATTTGATTGAATACTTTTACCCACCACAACAATCACTTCATAAATAAGAGTGGTTCTCACTTCATAAATAAGCCTCTGAACTCTTCTGCACATAGCTTCTCAGTTTGTGTGAGGCTTTAAACAAAAACGGATCTGGTGGTTTAAGTTAGATTTTTTATGCACACGTGGTCTTTAAGTTAGATAAAAAAGGAAACAAACATAAAAAAAGTAAATATTATAGTTTTATTCCTTATTCGAATCGGAATAGTATTTGGAGTAGCCTTTATATACAAGTCGGAGCTCTCTTGGAAAACAAAAACAAAAACATGATGTCAGATGTTTCCTTCAATATTTTTAGAATGTCTTAGTTTAGTTCAAGCAGTAACAGCTTAAACATTGTTCAACTTTGTAAGAGATTGTAATAAAATGTGTTTTACATTAAAAAATAATAATATAAAGGATTAAAAAGGGTTCAGACCTACTTTACATATTTTAATGGGTTCTAAAAAGGTTAGTATTCACTTAGGATTGAGCTTAAGTTAAATAGGGTTAGGTTGGATTGTACTATCCAATACAACATCCCTAGTTGTAGACATTTGAGTTTCTTTCGGTGTTTTGATTTTTTATTAAATAAATATTTATTCGGAATTATTTAGAGGTAAAATTCAGGCAGAAGTATTTGGGAACAACTATTTTCGGATAGAAGTATTGAAGCATTTGATTCGATAGAAAAGGAAAGTAGGAAAGAGGGTGTGTGTTTTAGTTAGATAATGAATTTGAAAATTTAGTTAGATAGGATAGCACTTTTCCTAAATTTTATTGAGAAAGAAAAAAGGAAAAAAAGAGAGAGAGAGAGAGAGAGAGTAAATAGTATAGTTTTGTGTCTTGTTCGGATCGAATTGGTATTTAGAGTACCCTTTATATATACAAGGTCGTAAGTTAGATCAAAGAAAAAGTTAATAAAAATCTCAATTATTGATAGGGTTAAATTTTATTGAGAAAGAAAAAGGAAAAAAAAAAAAAAGAGAGTAAACAAGAGTAACAATTATATTTTTGTTCCTTGTTCGAATCGAATTAGGATTCAGAGGACCCTTTAAATACAAGTTGGAGCAATGCTTTCTCTTGGAAAAAAAAAACAAAAAAACATGATGTCAGTTTATGGGAAAGAGGGTAGATACAAAGCAAAACAAAACACGATGAAGAGGAATGGTAGGAAGAAACAGAAGAAGTACTGTCCGCAGCAGGACTGTAAGTTATCTGTGTTGCCTGATGACATCGTTCTGAACTGCTTGGCATATGTCTCAAGATTGGACCACGGATCCTTATATCTGGTCTCCAAGCTGCACCGCTCTCTAATGCTTTCCCCGGAGTTATACAAAGCCCGATCCCTAACTGGTCGTACCGAACAATGCATCTATTTATGTTTAAGCATCCCTCGAGACCCGTTCGCACGCTGGTTCGCCTTCTATCCAAAAGCCTTAAATCATCCTAGTCGGCTGCTTGCGATCCGGCCACACTTGTATCAGCCCCCTGAAGCATCTTCGGTGGTGGCCCATGGTTGGGGTATCTATGTGATCGGTGGGATGATTGCCCGGAAGCCATCGTCAAGGGTCTTTTTCCTAGATTGCCGATCTCATACGTGGACCAATCTCCCCTCCATGGAGTTCGCTCGAGCTTCTGCTGCAGCTGGCGTGGTGGACGGGAAGATATACGTTTTTGGAGGTTGCGAGAAACCAAATTGGTTAGTAGAGGTTTTCGATCCAAAGAGCCAGACATGGAGTACCCTTTCCAACCAACCACAGCCACCACAGAAAGTCTTTTACTCTCCTTCCTCAATGCAGGAGAGCGGGGTGATAGAGGTGGAGACGAGGAAGAAGATTTTCGGTTTGAATGAGGAAGGTAATGGACTGCTTTACATTCCGAGTCAAGGCATATGGAAAACAGGGAATTCAGAAACCAACAAACTTAGAAAGGGTTGGCATGTGATAGACGATGTCATCTACTCTTGTGTAACCGATGGGTGGATATTGTGGTGTGAGGCAAGTGATTTGGAGTCCGCGGGTGGGATGAGGTGGAGACAAGTTATGGGGTTGGAGGATCTTAGGGGAACCCTTCGTGCCTCAAAACTGGTCAATTATGGTTGGGATTTGCCATCCCAAGACCTTGACTATACACTTCCCGGTCACAAACTGAGCAACTCTGGTCCCAACTTGTTACTCTTCTGGGACTGTCTTGCTAATAGTAAATGGGAGATTTGGTGTGCAGAGATCTCTTTACAAAGGCGCATGAGAACTGGCGAGATTTGGGCAACTGTTGAGTGGTCCGAATCCATCACAACCATCGATCGTCCTCCACATTGGGCTCCTCCTCACTGTAAAATTTTATATTCTCAATCCTTCAATCTTTGAAATCTCTCTCTGTCAACTCTATATAATTTTTTTTTGTTTAAAGTCTTCTATTATGTTATATGTACCCCTTCTCCTTCTATTTTCAGTTAAAACATTCTGCACAAACTGAGGTTTAGCCATTAGAAGAATTGACTAATTATATCAGCCTTCCTTTTTTTTAATGTCAAGGATGGGTTGTTGTTCTGTAACACCATTTACTTTGCTGTAGTTTCCATCTTTCCTTTTCCTTGGTGTTGTCTCCACTTGCCACAAAAAAAAAAAATTGTGTGTTGCTTTCTTTGTTAACTTAGTGCAGGCCAACTCTAACCAGCCTATGTGTTGTGCAATTAATTGTAGCTTTTCTCGCTCAGTAATCGACCTCAAGTGGACTCGTTGAGAGCGGATGCTCTTAAAACAAGTTCTTTAACAACTAACTAGTATCAAAGAGCATTTGGTTATGATGAACAATGATTATGCGAGAATGAGGACATGTTTTTTTTTTCTTCCACACACACTGTTCTATATATGAATGTTATTATTTAATATCACTAGTTGCTTTCATACTCGTGGTATTAATGTCAATAGTGGTCTACTGCCAAAAAAGTTTAATTTTCACAGTGATGTATATAGATCCTATGTTTCCATGCCCTTTGTAAATTAGTAACTTCTGTGTTTCGTTTGGTTTTATCTGAGATGAGAGAGTATCATAGTGCCTGTGTTCAAGTTGTATCAGAGTATTAACTTGATATCTTCTTGGTACTAGTGATAGATACATTACTCGTTTCATTCACAGTTTGCATTTGCTGAAGCTTATATTATTGATACTGTACATTTTCATGTATTTGATATAGTGTGAGGTTGAGGTTTTTGCTTGCAGATTGACCAAATCTCATATCTTGGTATCTGGAATAAAAGGGACCGTTGCTGAGGTACCTGTACCTCTTTATCATCTTTTCTTAGATGTCATGCCTTTGAGTACTTGATTGAATTGTATCTTACTACGTTGTTGTTTTTTTTTTTGGATTTGGTTCCATTTGTTGTGTAGTTTTGCAAAAACATTGTGCTGGCAGGAGTTGGTAGTGTGACGTTAATGGATGATCGCTTGGTGAACGAGGAGGCCTTGAAAGCAAACTTCTTGATTCCTCCTGATGAAAATGCTTATAGAGGCAAAACGGTGGCTGAGATCTGTTGTGATTCTCTCAGGGACTTTAACCCTATGGTCCTTGTCTCTGTAGTGAAAGGTTTCTCTCTGACACCTCTATCCATAAGTCGTTTTAATAACTTAATTCGATCATTCTTTCAAATCTTTCAGGTAGTTTGTCAACGGCTCTAACTGGTGACCATTAAAATAGGAATATAAATGAGTAGGAAAATAATAAGTAGGAATAAAATAAAAGGAATGAAAAGGAATATTTATTACTTTGGTTCCATATCAATTTTGATAAGGAATGTTTTTGTTCTATAATTCCTTAGAATTCAAGGAATGACAAGGAATCATACGCATGAAATATTTCTTATGAATGGTGTATTTTTTAAAGAATAAGTAGGAATTGATTATTCCCCTTCGTTCCCTATGTTACCATTTAGACCCAACACTTTCTAAACTTTCCAAACTATATCGATAAATTTTTGTTTCCAAACTTTCTAGCTAATATTCCTAAATGGTTAATTTTCAGAAAAAAAATATATTCCTAAATGGTTATTTTACAAATATATATATATTCCTAAATGGCAAAATATAAAACTTGAATATTCCACCGATTCATAATTTACAGAAATCACCTAAATTATACATGTCAAGGTGTATAAATAGTTTGCAACCATGATAGAGAAGAAGATAGTTACAAAGAATAAAACTTTGGGGTGTGTGTGTGCGTGCAGGCTGAGAGCCTGAGACACAGTATGGGGATTAGTACCTTCGTAGCCGTAGGCCTCACCGCAGGCGCCCTCGTTGGGGTGATCATAATCAGCTCGGTTTGTGTATGGCGTTGCAATACCGCCAACCTACGCCAGGCACGGATTGAACCTGATAGTAATCTTTGATTTCTACTATCATGCATGCATGTACTATTTTGCTTATTTTATGTTTGGTTTTTATTTTTTGGATAAGTTTATTTAGATCAGTAACCTATACGGAATAAGCATATTGTCAATGCGAGTATGCAACACTGCAATAACATTATCATTTCTGTTTGTTAACTGGTATTGTAACTCAATTTTACATATTTAAGTTATTCTTTCAATGGTTTTATCATACGTACGTTGCAGTGTTTACATTACATGATTACTAGTATACTTTGTGAGTTACATATTGATGTGAAGGGAATAATCGTTTTGATCAACAAAAGAAATCAATATATGTATCGATTCATTATTCCAGCCTAAACTCAAACTTTTCAGTCTATAAAGGACAGAAAAAAAAAGAAACAAGACTTGTGTTTGAGCTGATGTCTACCGCACACTTAACTCAGAAAGTTCTGATTTTAAAACATACTCTTGGTTTTCTATAAACTCTAACGCTGTTTACACAAGACCGCAAATCCTAAAAGCCCTATAGCACAAGAAGTTTTAAGATATTGTTGTCTCTTCTTGTCACTGCCCAAAAAAAAACATCCCGCTGTAGTAAGATTGATCCACGGCGATTTTGAACCACATCAAGATTTTCTCACCTCTCTTTCGGTTGTTTCTTATGACCACGTCAACTAAATTCATTAGGTTTGTTCTTTAGCCTTCTGTTAATATTGATAAAGGTGACGCAGAGGATCTAAATAATAGCTATGCGTGTTTACTTTCTGTAACATGAATTCTTAATGGTGTTTCCATCGTTGGATATAGGCCAAGTGGCCAACTTCAGTGACAAGTATGACGAGTATCGGAAGAAGTGGGGAGGTGGAATTTTGGGATCCAAGTGTCAGGCCAAGACTGAGGAGAGGGTTCTAGACAAGGAGGCAACTCCAAGGATGAATTAGACCCTCTCAGTCTCAAGGGTTATACAGTTTTGGAGAAATCTAGTTTTCTTTACAAACTAAGAGTTTGAATCCAACATCCCGACCTTTTTATTATCTCTAACATTGTTGCTTTAATCGCTTATTTGACTGAGGCTTTACAAAGTTACTTGTTGACAAAATTGAATCTAGCTTGAGACCATCTTTGTGTACATTTACGTCTGACTTGTATATTGAAAGCACATATTTTTTATTTTTATTTTGAAACAATTGAAAATTTATTTTGAAACAATTGAAAGCGCATACACTTCTCACTTACATGCCTTACTACACAGCTTCTCACATTCTATTCCTTACTACACAGCTTCTCACTCCTTTTCTTAAACACGCCACCAGGGATGGACATTTCGGTTTTATAACGGGTTCCGTTTGGTTTGGGTTATTTGGATCTAAAAAAATTTAACCAAAGTCAACCCATATATTAGTTTGGTTTGGTTTATGTTTGGTTTGGTTCGATGTTAGTAATTAATTTGTGTTCGATTTGTTTTTTGTTTGATTCGGTTTAATATGATTTTGTTTGTATTTCAGTTCAACTGAATTGATTTTTTTAGTTTTGTTCTAATTCAATTACAAAAGTATAATTTATAAAAATTAACAAATCATCATGTGATACTCAGTGTTTCCGCCAAATTTAAACATAAAACTAAACATCAGAATAAATATATAAGAAATGTAATCCACAATTTTATATTATTATCTTCAAACTTAATATAAAATTATAAAAGTATTCGGTTTGATGTTAATGTATAGATTTATATTTTTTAGTTGTGTTTATTTTATTCATTAAGAAGACAAATGTATAAAATTATTAGTTATTTAGATTAAATGGTTAAATATATTAACTCTAATATTATTATTATATTTAATTAATCTAATAAAAACACTTCTTCGTTTTTTCAATTTGGTTCGGTTTAAAACCAAACCAAACCGAACCATTCGGGTTGATAGAATCTTGAACCAAATAGTTTAGACATATACTTGAGTTCGGTTTGGATCGGTTTGTATTCGGTTGGGTCGGTTTGGTTCGGTTCGGTTTGGATTTTTTACCCATCCCTACACGTCACACCTAACGAAAATATCAAATTATAGAATGTTTTTACACAAAATGTTAAGTAAAATATATTGAAGGTAGACGTAAATTACTACGTGCATATCATATGTACATATTAATTATGGTATGACAATCATCATAATTAAAATGAAAAAAAAAATTATATCTTTTCCTTTTCACTTTCAAGCTACTAATATCAGCCACATGTGCTCTTTAATGCTAAATCTAAAAGTTTCCAACTATCTCTAGGTAATATTCCTAATGACAAAATGTAAAAATTCAATATTTAGTATTCCACCGGTTCATTTTCAGAAATTACCCAAACAATGCATGTATAATGTACATGTCAAGGTATATATATAGTTTGCACCCAAGAAAAAGAAGAAGCTATATAGTTACAAAGAATAAACTTTGGTGTGTGTGTGTGTGTGCAGGTTTGAGACACAGTATGGAAAATAATATAATGACAGTCCTAGGCCTCATCGCAGCCTCCCTCCTTCTGGCGATCGCAGTCGTCATGCTTTGTGTATGGCTTTGGAATCTTGTTAACCCAGGCCAAGCACAGATTGCGCCCGATAATAGTGCTTGATTTCTACTATCATCCATATACTATATTGCTTTTTTTTTATGTTTGGTTTGTTTGTTTTGGATAAGTTTTATTAGATTAGTAACCTATTGAATAAGCAGATTGTCAACGCGACACTGCAATAATATTTATCATTTGTGTTGGTCTAATGTTATTGTAACTCTATTCTACATATTTAATTGATTTTTTGAATGGAATTATCATAGTTTGCAGTGTTTACATTACTTGATTACTTATCAGAAAATGATTACTAGTATGCTTTGTCAGTTACATACTTGATGTGAATGGACGTTATTGTAGTGAAATAATTGTTTTGATCAACAAAAGATCAATATGTCAATTCATTGTTCCAACCTAGTCTCCAAGATTTTCAGTCTATAAACGACAGAAAAAGAGAAACAAGACTTGTGTTTGAGTCGATCTCTACCGCACACTTAACTCAGTACATTTTGATTTTAAAATATACTTTGGTTTTCTAACAACCCTAGTTAACGCGGTTGACCAAGAAACAAGCCCTAAAAGCCTTCTAGCACAACAAGAAGTTTCAAGATTTTGTTTTCTCTTCTTGTCACTGCCAACAAAAAAAAACATTCCGCCGTAGTTAGGTTGATCTACGGCGATTTCGAACCACATCAGAATTTTCTAGCGGTGGAAATTCTCCTCTCTTTTGGTTGTTTCTGTAAAATGAACTAGATTTTAATCCGCACTTTTCAAGCGCGGAAATTTTTTATAATTAAAAATTTATAGAATTGAGTTTTATCTTAATTTAAAGAATGTTTTGGTATAAAATCAGTTCACCAAAACTTGTGGTGATGATTGTTTTGCATTAGTTTTTAGTTTCAGTTTTTATTTTTTTAGATTTTGGTTTTTAGTTTTTAAGTTTCTATTTTTGATTTTCAGCTTTTCGTTTGGGTTTTTAATTTTTAGATCCACTTAATTAGTTTGAACTGATATTACCAACAAACAAATCCCAAATAATCGAACATCTAATTTAAAACTAAAAAGATGACAAAAAGAATTTTAAATTTTTTTTGCAATAGTTTATTTTGTAAATAAACAAAAGCAAAAAAATATAACCTGTGTTTTCAGCTTTTGGTTTTGGATTTTAGTTTTTAGATTTGGTTTTTGGTTTTGTTTTAAATATATTTTTTTAATCAGTAAATTTAAGAAAAATAAAACAATAATTATTTAAAAGTTGACATTGAATTTATCAAAACAAAGTGATTGTTATTTAAAACTAAAAATACATTAACATGTTTTAAAGTACATGATTTAAATAAATGATTAATAACATATAATTTTGTTTTGTTGAAAATATTAAATATCTTTGGGCCTGAAAATAATAATTGATTTATTTATCCATTAAAGTCGAAAGTTTTTTAATGTTTTTTGGAGTTTTTCCTTAATACTAATCCCAAAAACCAAACCATATAATTTGTACTAAAAACAAAAAGTAAGCCCAAGACTATATCCCATAAATAACCACCGATTTAATTTAAGTAATACGGTTTAATTAATTATAAGGCTTGTATTATTTGTAACACTCTAGAAATGATCCAAATTTAAATGACAACTTGTATCTACTCTATTTAAATGACAACTTGTATTAATAGATAAAAATGATGATTCTATTTTAATAGAATAGATTCTCACCAGTATCCATTGTTGGATTTAGGGTAACTTCAGTGACAAGTATGACAAGAACCAAAAGAAGTGGGGGGGAGGTGGAATTATGGGATCCAAATCTCAGGCCAAGACTAGGCTAAGGAGAGGGTGCTTGCCAAGGAGGCTACTCAGAGGATGAGTTAGATCCTCTCAAGTCTCAGGGGCTTCAGTTGTAGAGAAATCTGATTTTTATTAAATGTGCACATTTAAGAGTTTGCTTGAATCCAAATATCTCTCACTTTAATCATCTTGAACAATTTTGCCTGAATCTCTAATTATTACTGGAACTTCACAAATTTACTTGTTGATAAGATTGGATCTACCTTGAGACCACCTTGATCTACTCAATCGTCTTAGATTGTGTACACTTACGTATATCTGACTTCTTTACTGAAGGAGTAAATTGTATAGGGTCGGTCCAACTTTAAAAAAAAATTGTAATACCCTACTCTAAATTACAAATTTATGCCTTTGTTCTTCATAATTTTCTTTTATAGTGCCCTATATACATATAAAATTGTTGTACAAAATTGGGATACCCTAAATAGTCGGTTCTTTTGCCTATGCCCCGGACCGGGCCCTGTAGAGTCCGTATGTGAGAAAACCTCTATTAATGAACATAACTATAAGTCTATAAGCATCTCCCTTTCACATTTTATGGCTTACTACACATCTTCTCACTCCTTAAACGCACTACACCTTATATATAAAAAATATATAAAAAAATTAGAACTTTCTTAAAACAAAATGTTAAGAAAATATACTGCAAATTTTTGTTAAGAGAATATAATGAAAAGTTGCTAAAACTATTGTTATCATATATTTATTCATATGTACTTATGTGATGCTATATGGCGATCATGTAATTTTTCCATCAATTTCCAGCACTATATCAGCCACATGTGCTCCTTAATGACTAAATCTATAAATTTCCAGTAGCTAATGTTCCTTAATGACAAAAATGTAAAACTCATATATTTCACCGATTCATTTTCAGAAATTACCTAAAAACGATACATGTATATATATATATGGTTTGCACCCAAGAAAAAGAAGAAGAGATACAAGATTATAGTTCAAGGAATTGGTGCGTGTGTGTGTGCAGGGTAAGACACGTTCAGTATGACGCCTGATACCTTCGCAGTCATCGCAGGCCTCACCGCAGGTACCATCGCTGGGGCCATCATATTCGTCACGGTTTGTGTATGGCTTTGCTATACCGCCGACCCAGACGAAATACGAGTTCAGCCCGTTTAATAGTCCGTGATTTCTACTTTCACTTATTTTATGTTTGGTTTCTTTGTTTTGGATAACTTTTTTTCTTTATATGAGTAATAACCTATCTAATATAGAATAAGGAGATAGTCAATGCGACACTGCAATTACACTATCATTTTTGTTGGTTTAATGGTATTGTAACTCTGTTCTACATATTTAAATGATTATTATTTCAATCATTTTATCATACGTTGCAGTGGTTACATGACATGATTACTATTATACTTTTGAGTTACGTGTTTGATGCGAATCCCTTATTCTGTGGAAAATAATCGCTATGGCGATACATTGTTCCAACCTAAACTCAAGATTTTCAGTGTATGAACGATATAAATAGAGAATAAAGACTTTGTTTAAAGTAAGACTAGTTTTCTAAAATCCCTAGCGGTTGACCAATATCACAAACCTAAAATCCCATAATCCGCTGTCGTTATATATATATAACGCGATTTCCAACCACATCGGAATTTTCTAGCGGTAGAAATTCACATCTCTTTCAGTTATTTCTTGTGACCCAAGTCAACTGAAGTTATTGGGGTTCTACTTCAGCTCTCTCTTGGTATTTGATAACGGTGATGCCTAAAGATGATTGATTCCCTAAGAACACTAGAAGAGGGAATCTGTATTGTATAATTGTGGAAGATAATATGAAAGGGAATAAAGACGCAACTTCTGATCTTTCATAGATACATAATCATCTTTCATCACACATAATCATTTAGAGCTAAAGTAACCTATACAACTTCCGTTTATTACACAGAACGACGCAAATGAAGTATACCAGAGATAGTGTGAACAAAAAACAAATAAGGGACACCAAAAGAATCTAAATCATTTTCTACACATTTCAAAGCTTGCATTTCGAGGTTATGATGATACTCCACAGCTTAAAGGGGAAGCTTTACTTTTTTTTTTTTGGTTTTCTTCTGTACTTGAAGAATTGAGAATGGTATGTATGATACATGTCTTGCTCCTTTCACAAAATGGTGCATGTGCATATAACCGCCTTGGGTGCTTTGTCGACCTTCTTCTCTGTTCAATCAAAACCGGTATTCAAGTGTTAGTTACAAAGCAAAGACTCAAAGAGTTTCAGTCACTTGGTCAAGTTTTTTTTTAATAAATCATGGATACAAATGTTTATGGTTGGCAAACATCCCGAGCCAATTCTCTAGAAGAATTGAATAAACAAAACATCATACTAGTTGCTTATCATAATGACAAACTAATGAATCCACACTATTATTTCCCTTATGGCCTTTTGGCTAAGTTTAGAGCTGATTTTGCTTTGTTTCTCACTAATATTTCGAACAAAAATAACAAACCAGACAGAAACTTAGGCACCCTAACCAATGATAAACTTGCTGATGCATTTACTATTTATAGTGATCTTACTCTCACAAGCCAAACAAATCCACTATACTGCATTTATAAATATAGTGATTTTACTCTTACAAGCCAAACAAATCAACTATACTCGAGACCCTAATGCATTTACTATTTATAACGACTCTAGTCACTGACTAACTTGTTATAAAGCCTCATGTATCACATATGACAACATAAACAACAAAAGACAGATAAAAAAAAAATCAAATAAGCTTAATACTTTGGGGAAGCTCTAAGCAAAACATAGACTCTCTAACATTTTCTGACAAGCAAACAAAAAAAAAAAGCAGAACACAGTCTTACCTGTTTTAGTTTTGGCAAGAGAAGGCTGAACAACAACATGCATCACAGTAACTCCACCAGCAACCTCTCCAAAAGGCGTCTTACACTGACCAACAGTCTTGCTATTCTCCAAGATCTTACCCGAACTAATCAACTTCACTTCATTTATCCCTTTCGGAACAACTGTTTTGCCTATAATAAACCAAAAACACACACACAAAAAGAAGCAGACTTTGAAAACTGTTATGTTCTCAAAAATCATAAAGATCACAACTTTCAATAAAAAAAATTGAAACTTTGATGAACCCAACTAACCTTTGGGCCAATCAGAGACGACCCTTTGCTTCAAAAAGTCGACGGTTGAAGAAGATGAATAGTGAAAAGGTCCGATGTCGGAACCATCGTAGAGCCTGAATTTGATATCTACCGACTCTTCTTCCGGCATATCCGTTGACTTTCTCTCTCGTTATAATCAAAACCAAGCTCCGATTACTAATCGTGATTCTCGAAAAAAACGAGACTTTTAAGAGAAATCGTTCAGATCTGAAACAGTTTGAATCTGTAAAAAAAAAGAAAAGAAAAAGTAGAATCAGAGGGTTGCTTGGAACACACAAAAAGGGGGAATATGAAAAGAGAATTGGGAAGAAATCAAATTACAGAACAGTAGGCTCTTCCTCTCTCTCTGTATCTATCTCTCGAGTTTTGTCTTTGGATCTTTTTTGATGAAGACGAAAAGCTGAAGAGTCCACCAAATATCCAACTTCCCTTTTTACGAACTTCTCAACCCCAAACCTTTTCTTCTTTTTCTTTTTTTTTCTCAGCTAAACCGACGTCGTTTTGTCTTCTTCTTTTATTTTATTAGTTGTAGTGAGTTTCACAAAAAAAAAAAAAAAAAAATTAGTTGTAGTGAAAACGGTGAAAGGTTTTAACCAGTTTGGGAAATTTACCCATCTCCATTTTAACTGTTTTTTTCTTTTTGATAAATCTCCATTTTAACTGTTCCCACCGGAACTTTCTTGTAGGATAATAATGATTCGTTTTTGGATTCAGCTTTGGGGGTATTGTTGTTAGACAATTTTGATTTTTATACCTCGTATGTTCTCAACTTAGTTTTCTAGAAAATAAATGAGAAATGGCAATAGAGAAGAAGACAGGAGAAGAGTAACGTTGCATTAAGAAAAGTCATTCTTTCTTTTTCTGTCTGCGTCTTCCTTCTCTTCATTGCCTTTAATCTTGACACATCGAGAGCAACGTTTCCTAAACGACACCCTCTTGTCACACCTTCGAACTACAAATATAAAATCACTAGTTATTCATAACTGGTTGTAATTTGTTAGAATTTACTTATAATGGATTTTAATGTATTCTCTTTACTTTACCACAGGTAAACCAAAATTAGATGTGGTGTTAGTACTGGATTAAGTAAGTTTTTGTACAAAAAAATAACAAGAAAATACAAGTGAAATCTACGTACATACATTGTAATGAATCTTTCCAAATCTATAAACACATTCTAAAATTCAAATGCATTGAGTACTTTTGGAAACATCAAAACACGTAACACCAGTCTGGTCTCCTTTGCGCAAGGTCCTTGTAACGTTCTGAAATTGAAACTGTGGAAATTCTTCTAGAAAAAACCTTTACATGGACGGCATACTTATGTGGTTTGGGCTGTTAAAAATGTGTTTGGGCTGTAACTAACTTCTGGTCAACTTCATTTCAGCAATTAATTTACCCATATCATTTAGTAAGCAAGAAAAAGTATATGATTGTACATCAAAAAGATGTTTTTTCTCCAAAAGAACTTTACTTGTGAATGATCAAGTACTTAAATTACTTTAATTCAATTTCCCTTTTTCATTTGTCTAACTAAAAGGATCCACGTATTTTATGAGTAGAGGACATCCAGAAGTATTTTATGAGTAGAGGACACCTTTTGAAGGATGATACAATTTCGAAATAATATGGTGGGGAAACAGACAACGCGCCAAGTACAATCTAGTGAAACACGACTCAACAGAACAACAACAATAATTCACTAATACCAAAACTACTTATTAGGTTTGGATTTGGTTTGCCACTTTCTTTTCCATCTGACTCTCTACGGCACCACCATCAGTTTGAGGATAAACCGTCAAATCACGGGAAGCTGGAGTTGATGCAAGCTTGACCATATCAATGGAGTGATCCGACACCGTTTTGGGTTTCTCTATGTCATCAGTTTTTGGAGCTTTGTAGTACTTGTATATGACGTAAAGAATCATTTGAACTGCCCCGAGAAACGCACCCAATATATTTGGAAGCTTCAATCAAAAAAGTTATTACATCAGTAATCATTTGTTGGAGCAGTACACATCCCATTAACCTCGGGACAGATTAAAGAAATATATGTATATATATAATTGTACTCTAGGTGTCTCTGATGCAATCATAGATTGTGATCATAAAGAAAAAGGTGGTGGAATCTCTTTTCCCTTAAACATGAACCACCCATAATCATATATTATACATGATACTTTGTTGCGCTCCATTATTAGATGCTTATATATGATTTAATATCATAAGAAAGAGACTCACCGCAACGTAGAAGTCTTTAATAGCAAGACCGTAGAAGAGCCATGTAATGGCGCTGAGTGTAAGAAACAATGATAGAGAGAAAGGCATAAACTCCACACTTTTTGTTCGTATCACCACTCTCTGCATCAAATGTACACTTATGACATGTTAAACTATATAATATACGTAAACATAAAGAGATGTTAACAACTAGTTTCTTTATCGATCGAGTCTATTATATTCTTGAATATGAATTAGCATGCCTCATTTCAACATATACGTGCAAGTAGCAAGTACACACGTACCATGATGCTCAAAGGAGCTGCGAAGACACAAACGGAAAATCCGACGCAAATCCCTCCAAGGACTTTCTCACGGTTTGATCCTTTGGTCAATAGCTGACAGACAAGGATAATACCGGCAAAACCCAAAAAGTTCAAGAGCCCAAGAACCTTCAAAGTTGATATCTACAGGGTTGTTTATTGTATATATCATCAGTTTACCGATTTTCATATAAGTGCATTTTAAAGATACTAAAAAGAATGATGTGGGTTACACGCGCATACTCTTGCTTTCTTGTTAGCATAGGTTATGAAGAGGATAATATAGATGGTTTCGATGAAACATCCCACAGAGTTTATGGTAATCAGGAGGAAGCCTGAACCATCTTTCTGCACAGCGTAGTAAATCCATAGCATCGCGCTAAAGAGCGCTGAGACGTAGGGAAGTGATTGAAAGCCTTCTATCGATTTTTTCTTGCAGATCCTAACAAAAGTTGGCCTTCATGTGCATAAAAAATAAAGTTCCCAAAATATTAAGTTTTTTGTTATTCGATAAAGAGGAAAGGAATAAGAAAGTGAGTTTGAGATCAGTGATGCTTACACTGGTGCCAAGAAAACGATGAACGATATGATGTTGCCTGAAAAAATACATATAGCAAAGATAACATGAGTGAAAATGGACATGCACGTATATTGACGTTTAACATGGAGTATATGAATTAAAGCTTAGATACTTACCCATGATTCCAAATGTAAATGCCAATACGTTTAGAGACATTTTGATTGTTTTGTGAAGGATCTCTCGAGTATAGTTCTACTTTTGAATGATATTACCAAAGAAAATGAATAAGGAAACAGGGATCTTGAACTCTTGATAGCTCTAACTGAGTTCTCTTCGATATGAATTTAACTGTGAGGCTAATGGTACACACTATATATAGAGAGGGTTAAATGTGCAATATGTTGAGGACGTCGTCGTTTTCATGGAAAAGGAAAGAGAATAACATGGCATATTGATGGTCTCAGATATTTCTATACAATTTCAAAAGATGAAAAATATTCAATGATTTTATGTGGTATGTATGAACCTCTTGGCGTGTATTATATTTGTGTCAAACTTTTGTGCCAAACCTTAGTTTATAACTTTATATTATTATTATTATAGTAGCCATTTAAACTGAGTTTTATTTTTCCTTTAGACCAAATAACTAAAATAATTGAGATAAACTTATTGGTGTTTTGTTCTTTTGGCCTGGCCAATAAAATAAACCAATGTTCGGCTATTAGTTTCCTAGCCAACCTTTCAAATAAATTTCGATTAAGGTATTATACTCTATAGATACGTTGGTCGTTATCTTTCATTCATATATACCTATTTTAAAATTTGTATGAAAATTTTAAATAGCTTTTAATGTGCAACAGAGAGAGTATTTATCCCCACCACTAGCCATACGTTAGATGTTTAATGATTTGTGATTAATATTACAAAGTTTGCATGGGAAAATATACCATACACACTCCAACTAACTGACCAAATGCAATACAGAAGTTTTAGTTTTTTAGATATACCGAATCCAATAGTAAACAAAACTCGGCGATGCGTTTTGGAGGGGGATCAATCCAAGCCATGCTAACAAAACTATTGCAAGAAGTTAAGTTCCCATTTTGCATTTTGAAGTTTCCATTGAGACATAACCCGATTTAAAGTTTGTGGACCAATAAACATTTTATGCAACTTTTAATATAATATTTAACAATTTAGGAATTATTTCTTATGACCTGTATATATTTTTTTGAAAAGTAATACAAATTTTGTTATCCTACATTAATTTTGTTGTGAACAAACGCGAATTAAACTTGAAGAAAACAAAAAAAGAGTAAAAACGATTTGAAAGAAATATCCATTAAGGTATGTATATTATTATGTGAATTGATAACTCTACAATCTCTTAGAGCTATATTTATAGTGCACTCAGATTTCATTTTTCCTATAAAAATACATATTTATTAAGAAAAAACAAATTTTCGTAAACTATTTACGAGTGCTAGACTTTTACTGATATACACAGAGATTTACAACACATTCAGATGCAACATAATACGATCCATGTTCACTCTTTTTGTTTGTTGAACCGTAAAAATGAACGTTTAGGTGTCCGCAAAGTGTATCATATTTCATGTTGTCTTTGAGCACTCTTGAACTTCATGATTTGGCAGCCAAAATTAGGTCCATAAATATTTCTAATTTATTAGCTTTCATAACAGCAAATAATAATAGTATGTATTCCATGTATTAATGTATATAAACGATAAAACGACTCGAGAAGAAAGAAACAACAACTGAGAATAGTGTGTTTCATCTTAATTAGACGCAACTGTCGCATGTGTGGTATAGGTAAGATCATCAGCATGCTTCTTCGTGTTCCACTTGGTTACTTTTTTTATTTTATTTTGGTGAAATGTTAAGATACCACTTGGTTACTTTTCACGTTAATCTAATCATGTACAGAAAATTTATCATACTCAACAATCTTCAATGTATTCTTGGATAATCTATGTTTTGTTCTATCATAAAATATTATCAAATCAGAATTTAAGTTTGTACGTAGTAACAATACATCACTTACTGTATCTGTCAACTTTGAGAAAATGAATATATAAATAACCTATCAAAGGAGAAACCGAAAACGTATGGTTGAAACAAAAAGCGTATCAAAAGGATTGGACGTGTGAATCTTGATTATTATTTCCACCTATCGTTTCTTGGTCTCGCTAGCTCACTTGATCAAAGACTAGTTGACTGATTAAATATATTTACATCAAAATAAGTAGGTAGGCAGCAATGGAACTTTTACTTTATGAAGTATTTGTGGACCAGTGGTTGTTCTACGGTCAAAGGGAGTGGTTCCATCCAACCATGTAGATTCCTAATTAGACGGTTTAGAGCACGTACAACGGACGATATTAACAAGTCCTTAGCAAAAATCCTTGTCAGATTACAATTAAATAATGATAAAAAGCTACGTTACCGGGTAAAATAATCCTTAGCTAAGGATTTCTGAGAGAGAATCCTTGTGAGCTTGCGACGTCGTTTTGGTGTTGATTTTGTTTTTGGCAAAAAAAAACTCATTCAATTGAGATCGAGATCTTTGAAGGTAAATCCGATTCGCAATGTATTTCAAGAGGAGGATGATAACGCCTCCGTCGTCTCTTCTCGACGACGAGCTTGTGAGCAGTGTATCCGCCGTTAGAGACGCGGATGAGGCGTTTGAGATGATTACCGATCGATTCGGTTCAATTCGCGGCAGAATAGTTGAAATTGATGATTGCCGTTCGAGCTGTTTTGCTTGGACGAGCTTTGCCTGATGTTAGAGATGATCTCAAGCCTGTGCATCGGACAATCATGTTGAGTGTTGAAAGTTTTATGTTTTTTTTTTTCCAGCAAATAGAAGTTACTGATTCAGATTTTTGTGAATTCAATAAGGATCGAACTGAAAAGTCATTTAGTGAGAACCAGATATGGGCTTGTTACGACTCTTTAGATGTGATGCCTCGAGGTTATGTCATGATAAACAAGGTTATCTTTGTAGACCCATTTAAAGTGTGTATCACTCATGAACTGGTCCCATGACTGGAACTATCTTACAGGAGGAGCAGAAGCAATAGAGTATGATGTAGTGGAAGTAGTTGAAGGGTATACAGAGGAGTATGGTGTTTCAGTGGTGTCTGTAATGTGTCTGTAAAAGATTCCAACTTATTGTATCTTTGATAATGTAGTTTGCCTGTAACAATGAGCCCTGTGATGTTTTTGTCTCTGAAGTAAGTTTGTTTTTTTTTCCAGCAAATAGAAGCTACGCACTCTCCACTTATCCAAGGACATGGGAATTTTGGGTCCATTGATGCAGATCATGCTGCTGCTATGCGATACACTGAATGGAGACTTGATGCGAGTGACTGTACTCTCTAGTGCTTTTGTCTCTGCGTTTCTTCTAGTCATGTTCTCTGTTTAGTGTCCTAATTGATATTGTTTTCTCTACAGCCACTTGCAGGGGCAGTGTTGTTAGCTGATCTTGACCAAGATACGGTAATCATACGGTTTCACTTATCATCGCCAAGTTGAATAATTGTCTCTTAGGCTCTTTTGTTTCTAATTGCAGGTTGATTTTGTGCCCAACTTTGATAACTCACAAAAGAAACCAACTGTGTTGCCAGCTCGTCATAATCTACCTCCTCATAATCTTGGGGAGTTGGTGGATGTGCTTTGCGCATTAATCCACAATCCAGAAGCAACGGTACCTATTCCCTTCCTTGCTTTAGTGTGCTGTCAATACTGTGTGGCCGTTTATAAGTAGACATGACGATAAACTCACATGATGTTGCTTCCACTTTCTTATTTGTCGCTTTAGCTACAAGAACTGCTGGAATACATGCCTGCACCTGATTTTCCAACTGGAGGTCCTATAGTATGGTGAAGACTGAAGTGGTTTCTTTATTTGCTTGTCCAGTGAAGTTTTGAATCCTTGTGTTTAACAATTATAATTTTTTTCTCTAAGGACTCCTAAATGGAGTACACCATTGAACTAACTTTTTTTGCTGAAAATTCTTAACTATTCAATTAAAAAAAAATTAGTAAAATAATGGTTAAGGACTCCCTAATGGAGTCCACCATTGTGGATGCTCTTACATTCTTTCACAACCATTCCTCCTCGTCCTCACTTTTTCACTCTTTTTCTTAGTACATTCGAAATCAAATATATTTAACCGAAAGTCTAAAAATGTCAGCAAAATTGAGGAATGTAGGAGAAGAGCATCTGCTTCAACGTCCCATAATAAGAACTTAAGAAGTACATCAGAATCTGAATACTTGTTCCGACATCTTAGATTACAATAACACACTTACAGTACATTATACAATCTTAAGAATGTTGGTGCAATATGTAGAGGATAAAATCAAGGATATATACATACGAAATTATTAGGGATACTATGTTTTAATGATAACAAATAGCTTTATTAATTCGATGCCTTATATTAATTACCATTTAAAAGCAGCTCGACGAATAGAGCTTTTGTGAGTGACATAATAGCTATAGAACAATCCATTACGAAATGTAGAGTGCTATGAAATAAGAATTGGTGCTTGGGGCTGCAGAATAGTACCACAAACTTCGTAATGCCCGCGACCTCTGACCACTTGTAGTCTTGTATTCACTATTGTAATTGCAACGTACAAGAAAACTAATAAGGTTGGAATGTATCACATGACTTTGATACACTCTTACTATTTCTGATAAGTCCCCTAGGTATGGACTTTGTTTCCAGAAAGTTGAGTTTGTTTCTTTTCCGAAAACTTACAATATAAAAAATAATAATTAAAATTTACATAGAAACAGGATGAGTAAAATCCATTTTCAACGTGATAACGTCTGACCATCATACATTTCTTTTATTCTTTACGGAAAATGTATAATTTGTTATAAGCATGTTAAGGAACGAGCTAGAGGTTTGTAAATGATTAAAAAGGTTCTTTATTACAAATTTTTTTGCCAGTCTTACCTTTGCTAAAATAAGATAATTTTTTTTATGAATTATCTAAGAAAAATTTGTGATCTTCGTTGTTATTAATAGAAGTTACGATCGTTATCCCAATTCTTATTAAAACACCAAATAGTAAAAAAAATTACGTGTAACCCTTTTCTAGAAAAAAAAAATCACGTGATTATACAAAGATCTGTAACCAAGATGTATTCAAACAGAAAGTGCCCATCCGTTTAGGCAGAGGATTCGATCATCCAACGTCCTCAAATAACTTGTTTTGTGATCCTATCCACATGCTGATTTGCTATAAAATCACTTCCTCTATCTCTTGTCTTCTTGGAGTTTTGGGATCTTACACGACAACAAACAACAACAACCATATCTTTGTCTTATTTGCATCATTTGTCCCCTTTTCTTACATTTTCAGTAATTAACAGGGAAAATAAAAGTTTGAATCTAAGTAATAATGGGAGACACTGCAGGGAAAAGAACGCCATTAATGAATCTTAAGGTTCAACTGGCGATGAGAGTGCTAACCATCGGCGCAGCACTGGCCTCCATGGCGCTCATGATCACTAACCGCGAAGTCGCCTCTGTTTATGGCATTGCTTTTGAGGCTAAATACAGCGACTCATCTGCTTTTAGGTACTCTCTTTTGCTCATTTTATCCAAGGTGCACTTACTGATCTAATTATTAGTGAAGATGATGGAATGATACATCATCAATCTGCTTAAAATTTCACCAAATCAGGTTTGGAAATTAATTCATGGATTCTAGTAGAAAGAATGCAAAAACTGAGAAATATTATTATAGAAGAAATATCCATCTACTGTAACGTAGAAGAATATGTAAAATAAATTCATTCTTGATTTTTTTTAACAAGAAATCAAGAACTATATATGACTATGAGGAGACACAAAACCGATTGTTAATAAAGAAAGACATCGAGTGATGAATGATGATGACACATGAAAGTGTGTATGCTTTGATATGTTACGAAGGTACTTGGTGGACGCATATATAGCTATCGCCGCCGTGACAGTGTTTACGCTCGCATGGGCTTGTTTGGCTGTCCGTAGTGGAGGACTTATTTTTGCACTCTTCTTCGTTGATTTGGTAATTATTTTCCCTCTTGTCTATCAGGGTGAATAATACTTGTTGAGATGGGTTTTGATGTATATTATTATTATTTTATGTATATTATTATATACAGCTTACAACGTTGACGGCGATATCGGCATTCTCTGCGTCCATGTCTGAGGGTTTCATAGGAAAGTATGGCAATACACACGCCGGTTGGCTTCCGATATGCGGTTATGTCCATAACTATTGTAACCGTGTTACTCTCTCACTCGCTTTGTCCTTCGTCTGTTTTCTCCTCTTGTTCGTCCTTACAATCTTGACTGCCTCGGCTGCTCGTCGTTCCTGAATATTTTCTTTACATTTCATACCATATACAATTGCTTATACTATTTTAAGATTTTTGTAATCTTTTTTTTTTTTTTTTGGATTTTTAGTCTTTCTTGTATACTTAGATTTTATAAGATAAAAAATCATAAAAAGGGAATTGTATTGATTCTGTGTATTTATCCTTGAGACTCTTGGTACTTATTATGGACGTGTTCATCTTTTTTTTCTTTTAGAAGAAGTAATTGACAAAATATTTGAAATGAAAAAAAAAAAATTGGGAGTAACGAATTTTAGAAAGACATGAAATATAAACAAGATATGCCAATAACCAATATGGGCCCCTTAGAGCATCCTCAACCCAGCACCCCATGATGGGGTGCTTATTATTTTATTTTTTTTTCCTTTTTTTTTAGTTTTGTCTGATTTTTCTTTTTTTAAAAAAAAGGATGAATCACGGGTCGTCACGTGTCCATGGGACCCGTGAACAGTGTAAGCACTGAACAAACACAGCTGCTTATTTTGGATGCAGAAGAGTTGGTGCTTGTGTGTTTTGTGGGGGTCCATGCAATAAGCACCCCCTTAAGCACCTTGGTTGAGGATGCTCTAAGAGCATCTTTAACCCATGGAGTGCTTATTTTTTTCTTTTTCTTTTTTACTTTTCTTTTGTTTGACTTTAAAAAAAAAATAAAAAAAACATTAAAACTAGACTAATAGCGGGCCGCCATATGTCGGCAGGGCCCGCAAACAGTGCAAACAACCCACCTAAATCAGTGCTTATTTAAGCATTTTAAGCAATAGATTTTGGGGGGTTTTTTGTGGGGCCTACGTTAAGCACCTGCACAAGCAACTGCATCGATAATGCTCTAAAGTAACTTGCTTGTGTTTAAAAAAAAGAGTAACTTTGACTTTCGTTCGCGCCCAGTTCTTGTTGTAAGATGTGGGACCAATAGTTTCATGTCCCGAAGATAGGCGTGAATCCGCGAGAACAAACCTCGGCCACAAAACAGAAGACTTGTGTTTGCGTTCCACTAATACGACGTCAGATCAGCGTCCTCTACTTTTGAACAAAACGTTTCATCACCTTATCCTTTTTTTTTTATTCAACTGGTGGTTGCCTTAGGAATTTAGGAGAAGTCCATTTTTCATTGTGCATCTGAGCTGTGTATTGAGTTTCATCTCCCTCCTTCAGTGACTTCCCTATCAGCCACTTCTCTAAGCTGCAAAGCTCCCTCTGCACGATCTATCGGAACATCTCAGGTGACTTTACACTCTGTGTATTACGTTTTTGTTTTGCCTAGTAATGTAACGCATTAGTTTCATATACTGTAATCATCATTAGGTGTTAAAGGGCAGCGTCAAGTTTTCAATCTATCTCCATTGGTAGTTTCTAGTCTTCAAAGAGCATTCGTCTTCAGATCAGTTGTGCAGTAAGTAAAGATGTTGTCTGAAGCAGGCCCGGCTCAAACTAAAATTGGGCCATGTGCAAATTCATTTTCTAAATCATATATAGGTCTATATTTAGCAAATACAAAATTTGGACATTTTCTTGTCAAAATACAAAAAAATAGGGCCCTAAACACACAAAGAAAAAATTAAAAATGAAAGTAGGGCCCTGTGCTTGTGCACTGTTGGCACATGCCTAAAGCCGGCACTGGTCTGAAGATAAAAATTGAATTCTGATGAGAAATGCAATAAGGTAACTGTAATATGGGTACAGGCAAAACCAGAAACAGTTCAGAAAGTGAGTGACATTGTAAGGGAACAGTTGGCTTTGTCAGCCGACACTGCACTCACTGCAGAGTCCAAGTTCTCTGCTCTTGGCGCTGATTCTCTCGACCCCGTATGTTATACTCTCTCCCTTTCATATTAACGATCAGGCTATATGATTTGTAGTATTTAATTACTCATATAATATTGTCATGCGAATATGGTTATAGGTGGAGATAGTGATGGCTTTGGAGGAAAAATTTGATATAAGTGTGGAGGAATCTGATGCTCAGAACATTACGACGATTCAAGAGACAGCTGATTTGATTGAGGATCTTGTTCAGAAGAAACCTGCGGCCCAAGCTTCCTAAACTCTTTTTTTTTTTCCTTCTGACCTTTCTTTGTTTCAGAGCATTTTATTTTGCTATATTAGACCGTTTGTTATATTTCGTCTTCTGGAAGTTAAAACTGGATATTGGCGATGAGAAAACTCATTGAAGCTATTCCAGTGTAGACCATATTAGGTCAGTTTTTGGAAAAATGCATTCTTATTCATCTGCTGATTATTCTTAGTAATGAATACAAACTATGCTGTTAATGCAAACACACACTGAAGAGATCTTCCCAACTCTACGAGCATGCACTTCTTCTGGCCATGTTCATAGTTCTTCCTTATTTATCGTAATCAATGGTGTAATATGTAACGTTGGCATGCTCAAAAATAGTCTTGGGTTTATAATGTTCGATATTTGATTTTTGTTGCTAAAAAGGAACTCATGGAAGGCCTTGAAAGCTCTGAACCCACCATATTATAACCAGCCCAATGGTCCGTGTTTTTTGAGTTTACGTTCGGTTCATTGCCAACGCCACATTCACAGGAACGAGACAAAAACACAAACGTGTCCTCAAGTAGTCCCCTCTCGTTTACACATGCAGCGGCTGCATGGTGACGCCACCAACACGTGGCTACTATTGCATGATGACGCCATTGACACATTACTCTCTTCCCCCCTTCCTTCTCTTCATATATCTAATCAATTAACAATACTCATAGCTACTCCAAATCATAACAACTCATCCCTCTCTTCGACAAGAGCATAATGGCTGATACTGCTAGAACCCATCACGATATCACCAGCCGTGACCAGTACTCGATGTTGGGCCGAGACAGAGACCAGTATCCGTATGGTCGATCAGATTACCAGACTTCGGGCCAAGATTACTCCAAGACTAGGCAGATTGCTAAAGCTGCTACTGCTGTCACAGCTGGAGGGTCCCTTCTTGTCCTCTCTAGTCTCACCCTTGTCGGAACAGTCATTGCTTTGACTGTTGCCACTCCTCTGCTCGTTATCTTTAGCCCAATCCTCGTCCCGGCTCTCATTACTGTTGCACTTATCATCACTGGCTTTCTCTCCTCTGGTGGGTTTGGCATTGCAGCTATAACCGTCTTCTCTTGGATCTACAAGTAAGCAAAAATAATAATATCATAGCTATAAATTTTCAATTTGTCAATATGTGGTATATATGTATGCTGCATGTTACAAAAGGTAAGGTCGAAACTGAAAGATAGTATTTAACAATAATTCATATATATGCCTTGAGAATATAATAAAAGTACGCATAAACATCTAATGAATAATAATCTTTAGAGTTTATGTGTGCATGTATGCTAAGAGCATATATACGTAAACGCTCACTTTTAATGTATGTGAGTGTGTATGCGTAATTTGATGGATGCGTGTGTGTATGTGTGATGAATAGGTACGCAACGGGAGAGCACCCACAGGGGTCAGATAAGCTGGACAGTGCAAGGATGAAGCTGGGAAGCAAAGCTCAGGATCTTAAAGACAGAGCTCAATACTATGGACAACAACATACAGGTGGGGAGCATGACCGTGACCGTACCCGTGGAACCCATCACACCACTACGACTACATAAATCACGCCATAGCCCCCAGTAATGTCGATCTCAGGGGAGTCCAGTTCATGAGGAATAAGGTGTTTTAGAATTTGATCAGGGTGGGTAATAAAAAGGGGAAGCCAATACCATCAGTTTTTTTTCTCTTTGTTATAAATAATGTGTAAGTGTTTCTCTTGTCAAATGGTACCATGTTTTGTTTTGTTTTGTTATTCTCTTCTTTGTGGTAATTTGTAAACCTTTTGCTGTACTTTCTTTGCATAAGTGGTAAGGTCTATATGGAGAAGTTGTTCGTGAAACTTTTAGATTTGGATCTTTCTACTTTATTTATTTATTTATTATAAGTACTATACAGTATGACCACATGGCTCGTCTCACAATCAAAGGTGCTGAGGACGAAAGATGGTTTGTTCTGACTATAGAAATAATGTAATGCGGTTTAGTTTGCTGTTTCCGGATTGTTAAAACAGAATTGTAAACCGAATTGTTTATCCCTAGCATTTATATTCTAACCAATTAATTCACTCGCAAGTAACCAAAGACGTAAAGAACAAGAAATAGAGTTACACGAAGTAAAAAGCAAGAGAAAAAGAAATTATATTTTCATGATGTTCTTCACTGTTGGTTTTCCCTGTCCCTTACGAAATGTCTTCTGAAATTCAAATTGGTTTTCGTGTTTTCACGCTATTGAGTACAATATTTAAACTCCTAACGTTTTATTCATAAAACTTCAGCTTTTCAAAAATATTCATTTTAATTCTGGGTTAATTTTTTTTTTGTTTATGCATACAACTTCGGATGTTCAAACGTATCCAAACATAAAACTACTTTTATGACTATAGTTTACTATATTTATTGAATTGAATGCAATTGAAAAGAGGGAAACGGTAAGCTTGCCGTGGAGAAGAAGGATCAAGCAAAACAAAGCAAAGAAAATCAAGGAAAGTCAAAATATTCTGAGAACATCCTTTTAAAGAACATTTTGTATATAGTCTCCTTGAGATCATCAAAACTGTACAAAGAAACCTAAGACATAGCAAACTCAGAACAGAGCCATTCATTACAACAACTGCTTTTAAAAGAAAAAATATTGGTAGACCAAAAGACAAAACTACTCACCGAGTTAACGTAAAACATACGAAACCTGTCGGAAGTAATTACAAGTTACAATTGTCTCATGTTTCACAAAGGAAGAGGGATTCTACGCGCCGCCGGCAGAGGGTTGCTACGCGCCGCCGGTGGAGGGTTGCTACGCGCGGCCGGACGTGTGATGAAGAGGACCGGCGGCGTAGCCAAAGGCGGTATTCAAGAACCATTTGGTTCATCACCGTCTACTCCAGGTGGCAACGCTTTAATCTCACTTGGTGGAGGGTTTGTCAATAAATTTGGATCAAACAATCTGAGGATCTCTGCGGCGTCAGGGTCGCTGTTGAATCTTCCGGTGGCTACAACCTCCAGATGGAACGGAGGAGCTTTTTCGTTTAACAGTTACAACGCTTATGAAGACTTTGAATGGGTTACGGTGGAAGAAGATGACTCTGTTTTTGGCTCTGTTCCTTCTGTTGATGAAGTTGAAGATGCTGTTTCTGCTCTCAAGCAGTAATTGTTTTTTTTATCTTCTCTTTTTTTTTTTCCATACACTTGAAAAGTATGTGTGTTTGGTTTTGTAGATGAGACTATTTGAGATTTCAAAACTTGTATCAAATGATCAGAAATGACAATTAATCAATTTAATCTCATAAAATGTGGTAGATATTTGTCTTTTTTTTTTGTCCTCTGAGTGTGATGGAATTGTCATGATTTGATGAACTAATAATATAAGATGGAATATTATCCAACTCTCTTTTGTTTTGTTTGCTTCTTGAATTAATTATCAATTTAACCCCTCCTAGTTGTTTCAGTTTATACCTGAACTTATAAAATACTTTGAAAAGTTGTTTGCTAGTTCAACTTCATGATCATTGTCTTAGTCTTCAAAACCTACTTTTTTTTTTGCTTAAAAGGGAATATGTGCTAACTGTTGATGCTTGTTTTGAAGGGTATTTGATGGTGGAGGAAACCAGAGTCCCATGCCCACAGGAATGGCTCATCAAGTTCCTTCGTTTGGGACGGAGTTGGACTGGGTGGAGCCTTCTATGGAACTATGCCATTCAAGAATCTTACAGCCACATGCTTATGATCATGTTTACAATGCTTTTGACCTATTACGGACCGAACCATCCGTCCAGGTAATCTTTTGTTATATTTTCTCGATTCACTAAGCTCTAGTTTCTGTCGTATTTTGTTTAGTATTCATAAACCCTAAATAGAAAGAAACATAATGTGTACGTACCTGAATAACGTTTTGTGTAGAAAATGGTGTTAGCATTGTCATCTGACAAAGCAGTGTGGAAGGCAGTGAGGAACAACGAGGTGGTGCAAGAGATTAAGGAGTTGTACTACAATGGCATTAATCAAGGTATACTATTTAATTTAATTTCTTTTGTTAGAGAGAGAGAGTTCTTATTGGCTTGTTCGGTCTTTCTATATTAACAGACGAGGAGAGTTCAGATGAAGAGAGTTCAGATGACACTGCACGGGAGAATAACACACCAATAGATTTCATAAAATGGCTATTTGATAGCACAGGGGTTAAGGCCACGGGAGTGTTAAAGAAGATAACAAAGCTCGTGATAGAGATCTTAAATAGTTGCAATGTTAAGAAAAAGAGGAAACGTGGCAAATTAAACAATTGGTTCGAGGAAATGCTCAAGACTTCGGTCTTTCTCTCCATCATGGTCATGTTGATCGTCATGGTTTCCCGAGACTGCAACATGTATATGAACGTTCCAAGTTAGTCAAGAGTTTGGTTTTACCCCCAGTGCATTGGATCAATGGATCTCTTACAACGGAAGAAGACACAAAAGAAGAGTGGGGTACGATCATGGTTAAAGATTGGTTTGTAGTTACAGAATCCAAGAGAACAATACTCATCGCAACAGCTGTTGTCACCCACAAATCTCTCAAAGGCTAGGGCATTGGACCGGTCCTTACCGGTTACATCTCTGAGATTAGCTGGGATATGGTGTTTTCATGTTGATGACTGCAAGCTTTCATCTCAGGATTGTTGCTGACCAAGCTTATTGGAGCAGAAGTGAAAGCTATGTTGTCTACTGGGAGATTGATAAAGATCGACCAAGAAAACACAAATATGAAAAAAAAAACATTTAGAAGATTGACACGAATGTAGAAGAATCTGGAAATAATCTAGAAGAATAGAAAATTAGCATTTATTTATTATATTATTTCATATTATTTTAGGAAATTAAATTGATTTGTTTTTTTTTTATATAAACATATACATTTTTTGTAATATTAGTTTAGTGGGAGTCTAATAAATTTTTAATACATTTTTGTGTATTTCACTCTCATCATTTTAACATGGTATTAGAATCATCTGGTGTTAGGCTATTTTGTAGATGTTATTTTTTAAAATTGACTATGTTTTACTGTCAATAAATGAATAAAATTCTCACATCGATAGTTACAAATAATAATTAACTTATATTTAAAAGATTAGAATTAATCTACTTATTATCAACTAATTTTAAATTAAAGTTTCATGATAAATCCCTATTTAACCTAGAGTTCCCTCTGATATTATGAGCTTTACTTTGTTTCTTTTATTATTGATCAATGTCTAAATTTGTAAGGTTAGAATGAGAATAAAACTATTTTGGCGCTCTGCTTTAGTTTCTGTGTCCACTCTTCAAAACCAAACGAAATACAAAAAATATGGCTTATTTAAACCACCTTGAAAACTCATATAAAACTATGAAATCAGAAATTTTACTTTTAATTAAGAAATTAGATTTTGATACGCGCATACATAATATTTGTTTTAACTTTTAAAAACATATAATATATATTTATTGTACATAAATATTATCTTATTAGCGATCGGTTATTATTTGTATTGAATGCTATTTTATTTCTTATTATTATTTTTATACAATATTGAATATTTGTTTGTATGCTCAGACTTTTAGGACATATCAAATAATTATTTGAAATTTTATTTTTTAATGTAAAATTTATATTATCATGTACATTAGTATTTAAATTATTTAAAATAGTTATTATATAATATAAATAGACTAACTATTTTGGACAGGAAAAAAATTGATATGTTTTAATACTCAAAAATTGATAAAAAATAATTTTATATTGATTGTATTCATCTTATTTATATTAATTTATACATTACCCGTGATTAATTGTTTACTTTAAGAAATTTTGTTAAGATATAATGTCATTTGAAATGTTGAGCAAAAATAAAATTAATTGATTATATTTTTAAGAAATATTTTGTTAAGATTAGTTGATACTAAAAATTAGGATTAATAAGTTTGCCGTGTATTAATCGTAACTAGATTGTTACCAAATTATTTAAAATAATTAAATTCATGACCTATTTTTTGATAGTACTAGATTTCAAAGTATTTTTTGGAAAAAAAAAATTCTTAACACTGTGTTTTAATATTTAGCTTTGAATAACAATAATATCATTATTATTTAAATATAAATCACTCCGACTCTAAAATGAATACATCTCATATATTTTAAAAATACAATCTAACATTAAATATATATAAATGTTGAAAAAATATTAAATTTGGATTTTTGGGTTTAACTTGGCTATTTAACCCGAATCTGAAGCGGAACCAATTCAAAATATCTTATTCGAACAAAAAATTTACAAGTATCTAGTTTGGTTAGGAATTTCCTATTAGAAGAATTGGAATCGAAAACAAATGACCAAATAGATCCAAATCCGAAAAAACTCGACCAGATAAATACTCAATCTAAATATATGAATATCCAAGACTATGATTCATATGTTCTATTTTATATATTTTAATTTAGTTGTAATTTTTTTTGTTTGCAATAAATATAATTATTTTGGTAATATTATCTTGTAATACAATTTTTTTGTATAATACAAAATTTTAAATGTTAAATTTAGAGTTTAAAAATGTTTAGTTTGAATTATTAATAGTTTCTACTTAGTTATTACACAAAATTTTAGATACATATGATGAATTTTGGTTAATTTTGCTAAAAATTTGTATACTTTGAGTCTTTTCAATTTTAAACATCCGAATCCGACTTGGATTCCCTAAGGATCCATACGTTATATGTATTTTACATGTATTTTAAATATAGAATCGAATCAACCTGAATTTGAAAAAAAATTGATTCGAATCTAAATAAAAAATTTTGAAGTATTTAATTGTCCAAAATTTAGAAAGCCAAAAGATTTGGGTCCGGAAAAAACTGATCTGAAAATCAACTCAAAAACTCTGATAACTAAATGCTCAGGCCTAGTTTCACCACAAACAACCAAAATATAGATGAGTTTTTTTTTTTTTTGTGCACAAAAATATAGATGAGTTAAATAGAACAATATACACTGATTAAACATGTAATTATTTTCGTAAAACATAATGTTGATATTAAGCAAAGAAATAATTATTATTGTTGACCGTATCGCTTTAAAAATAAAATAAAATAATAATACTATCTTTCTTCCAGGAAGAAGATATTTAATTTTTCTGCTCTTCTATACTTTTCCTTTTGTCCCGATCGAGAAAAAGACAGAGACGCCTGTCCTAAAGAGAATTTTCAACCGACAGCTTTGCGGATTCAGGTTCTTGATCGATCCTTAGAACTCTGATCTCTTGTTTGGTTATATGCATTTGTTGAAAATCGAAATCTTCCCAGCTCATTTCTCTCGTCTCCCACGATCTTCACCAGTTTCTTCGATCTTTTAATTTTCAATTGTTATTTGTTTATGTTTCTTATAGATTCAATTCTGAAAAGAATCAATTTTTTTTTTTGCTTAATTGTGTGTTGAATTCATCAAAAGTCTCTATCTTTATTCCAAATGGTCAAAAAAATCTTGTCTTTCTATTGTGGTTTGCAGATGGGCATCTGGTGCTAATTTTGATTAAATGAGATTCTGGGAGTTAAGTTTTGAGTGAGAAAGGGTGTTGTTGTTATAGTTACTAATGGGGGTAAGGTACTTGTCGGTCTCGGTAGCATCAACAGCTCTGAGCTTTGTGGGGCTTCAGGTCTGGACAGAGTTGTCTTTGGATAGGCTTAGAGCTGATGGGTTGATTGCAAAGAACATTTCTTTAGGAGACTCTGAGCATGCCCTTGAGCTGCTTCTTGGATCTTACTTTACAATCGCCCTGTTGACCAATTTTGTACTCAATGTGTATATTCTTCTGCTACTCTCTCTCAAGGTAAGCTATTCAATTTCGGCAATGGATTTTCTAGCTTTCATAAACTTTATGTCACTGTAGGCGATGAGATTTAGTACCTTTGTGAAATTTCCTCATAGTTTTAGACTGATCATTTTGTTGCCTCCTGTCCCTGCGATATAGGTGTCTCGTTATTTGTTTACTCTTATTCTTAATGGTTTTACTTGCTGCTTTTGGAACTATTCTAACGCTCTCGAAGTATCCTGTTTTCCTCTTCTGGAATGAGTCCAATTTACAGTTCTTAGTTTGGTTATAAGTGAATTTTTTTACTGGTGTACACATGTGAATAAAATTCTGTCTCTGCATAGGAAGCAAATGTTGTGAATTTGCAAGAATCAAATTCTCGTTTATGGCAAATTGAATGCCTTGCGTGAAAGAAGTTGTGACTTCATGCTGTTCGTTGCCATATTAATGTGCACACTGATTGTTTAATCGTTTCTGGAAATGTTGTTTGACCATTTTCTATGGTTATAATGTCTTTATGCATCTTTTACAGACTCTATTTTTTGGAGATTTATATGGCGTTGAAACTAAAAAGTTGGTGGAGCGACTTGCCAATTACATCATTTACAAGGTAGATGTTCTTACTTTTATTACTTAACATCTTAGCAGCTGCAGGAGAAAAGGTATTATATATACCTAAATGCCAGAGTAAAGAAAAGGAACATGATAGGTTTTGATGCCTAAGAGAGGTCTTTACTTAGAACACATGATTCTGTCACTTTTTCCTTTCATTTACTTGTGCACTTTTCATATTTGTTATTGCTTCCTTAATTTGTGTCGTTTGCATATACATGTATGTGTTCTGGGTTCAATAGATTAAATCCCCTTTTAATCTTCCTTTCCTCCTTCTCCTAGGGTACATTTCTGCCGCTGGTGATTCCCCCAACTATATTTCAGGGTGTACTGTGGACAGTTTGGCTGACTGTTCTATGCACTTTAAAGGTATGGCTGTGTGCATCTGAATTATCCTTTTTAGACACCCTCCTAATGTGAATATTGTAATGTCATGTAGATGTTTCAAGCTTTGGCTAGAGACCGGCTTGAACGATTGAATGCATCTCCTTCTTCTACACCTTGGACATACTTCCGTGTGTATTCAGTTCTGTTCTTGGTTCTCTCTGTTGATATGTTGTGGTATTTCCTAAACCTTGTGGTATATTGTCAAATATTCAATTTGCTGCATTTTTTTCTCTTCATATGTACTTGAGAAATGTGTTATCAAGGATTTACTTTTCTCCTGTCTTGCAGGATAAAGCTTTCCCTTATGACATACAATACAATCGGTTCTTCTGTGTATCTGTTGTTACTTTTTGAGCCATGCAGTATAGCTTTTGAGACCTTGCAGGTACTTAAGTCACAGCAGTTGTCTTCTTCCTTCTTCTTGGTGTCCTTTTTCTTTAGCCATGGTCAACAAAATTTAAAGCTGATCTTGTTATTCTGCAGGCGCTGTTAATTCATGGGTTTCAGTTGCTTGATATGTGGATCAACCACTTAGTAGTCAATAACTCGGACTGCCAAAGATCCAAGTTTCTTGATTCCATGACAGCAGGTCTTTTGTTTTCTGGTGTTTTGCCATGTTTTTCTGTTAACCATGGGTATTTTTGGTTTATTCGAACTCCATATCTCAAAGTATAACTCTTACCCTTTGGATAGGCTCACTGTTGGAATGGAAGGGTCTTCTCAACCGAAACCTTGGTTTCTTCCTGGACATGGCTACTTTGGTAATGGCACTATGTCATTATTTGCATATCTGGTGGCTGCATGGCATTGCCTTCCATCTGGTGGATGCAGTTTTGTTTCTCAACATACGTGTAAGTTTGTTAACTTTCTTTAGTATAGTGTCGCCCTCCAGGCTACTTAGTACTCTAGGCACATCATTCAATTATTTTATGTTATACCTGGTTTTCTTTTTGGTTTTGCAGGCATTGCTTAGTGCAATTTTGAAACGAATTAAAGGATACATTAAACTGAGAATAGCTCTGGGTTCTCTCCATGCAGCCCTTCCTGATGCAACTTCTGAAGAGTTACGAGCATATGATGATGAATGTGCTATATGCCGGGTATATGCTTCTGCTATAGATCTATTTTTCATACACCTTTTTAATACCTCAAGCTCTTGTATACATTCTGAATGGCAGGAACCTATGGCTAAGGCTAAAAGGCTTCACTGCAACCACCTTTTCCATCTTGGCTGCCTGCGATCCTGGTGCGCTTAGCTATGTACCAACAACCTCAAGTATTTATAACTGAACTGCTGATCCTGAATGTTGGTTTGATGCTGGCAGGTTGGATCAAGGTCTAAATGATGTTTATTCTTGTCCTACATGTCGTAAGCCTCTTTTTGCTGGGAGAACTGAGAGTGAGGTGAACCCTCGCACGGTAGAAGTCTCAAGGGATGAGCAGTTAGCGCGTCAGCTTGAAAGACAAAACAGTCCTGCTCATCCACTTGCCACTGGTTTATTTCCTGCCGAGATGCCAAGTTCTGTTGAAAGTGATCCTTCCAGGTTCAGTTCATTCTTCTTCGATGGTTTACTTATTAACTAAATCAAAGTAACTATTTGTGCATTTTTGTTGAATTGAAGCATTTGAATTGTAAAAGTTCTCACTCATTTCTGTCACAAAATAGGAATTTAGGTTTGGATCCAAGCTGGCTGCAGACATGGTCAGATCAGGGCATTGATGTCGCTGGTCCCTCTACAGCTTCAAGGTCCGTTGGACTGGGGAGGGTTCAGATGATGATGAGGCATCTTGCATCTGTTGGAGAAAGTTATGCTCAAACTGCACTTGACGATGCTTCTTGGAGTCTATGGCCAATGAACCCTTCACAAGCTTCCACTTCTACGACAACCATACCTCCAACTGCTGGTGGAAGGACAGGTGGTCTGCATCTAAGAACTGTATCAAATGTGTCAAATGAAAGCTTGGCAAGTATACTAGCTATGGCCGAGACAGTAAGGGAAGTCATGCCACATGTGCCTGACGAAATTATTTTCCAGGTAAATTCCAAGTTCATATTGTCTGGAAGTGCATATAAGATTGAGTTGATGCTAGAACATTTTGCGTTTTAATTTTTTTTTGCAGGACCTGCAGAGAACAAACTCTGTAGCTGTTACAGTGAACAATCTTCTCCAGATGTGATGATAGTTTGTGTAAAAAATACTGAGAAATTGCTGTACTTTCATTTCAACCATAGGTATAGATTAGTGATTCGAGACATATCCTTATCCTTAAGTTTATACATCACCCAACATTGTGCATCACTCTTTACCATAGAGAAGAAGAGGCTCTAGTGTATAGCTTCTGTTCATTGCTCTCCTGCGAAGAGTAAAGTTTGGAAATATACACAAGGTGCTGATACCCTGGTGGTCTAGAGATATCTTGTCACAGTCTGACCTCCTTTCCAGTATCGAGGGAGAGTGACCACTCTGTGCAGATACCTCTCCTGTATAAGAATGTGTAATTTACAATAAAAAAGAAGTTAAATTAAAGAATATACTGTTAAATTGATCCAATAGCTTGTCTGTCATGCAGTATATCATCAAATGTGTAAACTAGAATTTCTTTTTCTCTCTTAAATTTAAAAAATATCCTTCTACTTCCTCTACAGTGGTTTGATAACTTGAACCTTCAAGTTTTGAGTCATCAAAATAATAATGGATTATGTCCATGTCTAAGAGTTAATTGGAGAGACCTTATCCTAAGACTTTTAAACATTCAACATAATGACAGCTAAATGTCATAAAACGTTGAATAGCAGCCACAACTTGCTCTGCAAACCAAGAATATTCTTAGATGACATCAAGTAAATTGTAGATGTACATCTCTTTCTTATGTAAGCACACTCGTAACGTGGGCCATTATTTTTCAATTCAAAGAGATTAAAGAATTATACTGTTTTATATCTTTTGCATCTAAAAGCATATAAATACTTGGTATACCTTTGTAGTTAGTAATCATTCACCATCACAGTCTCCCTTCAATCATTAGATTTTAGCAGTGTTAACATTTTCTTTCTTGCAAGAAGAAGTAAGCCATGGAAACCAAGGTAGCAAGCAAGCATCATAGCTCTATTTTAGTTCCATCTGTTCAAGAGATGGTAAAGGAGAAGCTGATCAAGAAAGTTCCTGCCAGGTATGTACGGTCTGGTCTAGACAAAGCTGAGATGGCTAGTGACTCTGGTCTAAAAGATGAGATCCCAGTCATTGACATGAGTCGCTTGTGTTCATCAACCACAATGGATTCTGAGGTTGCAAATCTTGACTCGGCTTGCAAAGAATGGGGATTTTTCCAGGTAAGTTTGAAAAGTCAAAAAACTTCACTTTAAAACTCATTCTTTACAAAACAACTCCACTTCTTGTATCTTATCTCCAGCTTGTAAACCATGGAGTGGACTCGAGCTTCTTGGACAAATTCAAGTCAGAGATTCAAGATTTCTTCAACCTTCCCATGGAAGAGAAGAAGAAGCTGTGGCAAAAACCTGGAGACATCGAAGGGTTTGGACAGGCTTTTGTGGTTTCAGAAGAGCAGAAACTAGATTGGGCAGACATGTTCCACCTCACAGTGCAACCTTCTAGGTTACGCAAGCCTCACGTGTTCCCCAAGATACCTCTTCCCCTTAGGTTTTGCTTAAAACCCTTCTTACTTTCTCCACAAGTCTCTTCTCTGTTTTTAAAATTATCTTCTGTTTCTTCAGAGATACACTAGAGACCTATTCAGCTGATCTGAAAAACATAGCTAAGATCTTATTTGCTAAAATGGCGATAGCACTAAAGATCAACCCTGAGGAGATGAAGAAGTTGTTTGACGATGATTTAGGACAGATAATGAGGATGAATTACTACCCTCCTTGTCCACAGCCCGACCAAGTTATTGGTCTGAGTCCACATTCAGACTCTACAGGAGTCACCATCCTTTTGCAGGTTAATGAAGTCGAAGGTCTCCAAATCAGGAAGAATGGCAGGTGGGTTTCGGTTAAACCTCTCCCAAATGCATTCGTTGTCAATGTTGGAGACATGATAGAGGTAAGTTTTGTGGACAAGACAGAGAGATCAAATGGTATGTATAAACAGCGTTTGTAAATGGTTTTGGTTGTGTCTATATATGTAGATAGTAACGAATGGGACGTACCGAAGTATAGAGCATCGTGGGGTTGTGAACTCAGAGAAAGAGAGGATTTCTATAGGGACGTTTCACAATATGGGAACGGGTAAAGAAGTTGGTCCGTTGAGAAGTCTTGTGGAGAGGCATAAGGCTTCGTTTTTCAGAAGCATGAGCACTGATGAGTATTTCAAAGGCTTGTTCTCACGTGAGCTTGGTGGAAAAGCTTACCTTGATGTTATGAGAATCTAAAAAAGACCGATAGATTGCCTTGGGATCTAAGAGAACTTAGCCTTCTACCACTGTTAATATATATACAGTAATAAGTTCTCTTATCTGTTTGAATTAATAAGAATATCTTTTTTTCAACGCTGTCTCTAATTACTTTTAGGTAATGTTAAAAAAAATATTAACTGTATATTTAGAGAAATAATGATATAACTTTTAAAGTTAATAACTTCACACACACACACACACACACACACACACACACACACACACACACACACACACATATATATATATATATATATATATATATATATATATATATATATATATATATATATAT